AAAGGCAAAGCATGTGGCAGCTGGGGTGCTGTCCATTGACACCGCTGGACCGTTGATTCCAGCGTATGACCAAGGTGGCGGAAAGGCTCGGTACTTCCTGGTTGGAGCTTTGACATGGAGAGTTCCCCGAGGATTTGAGAAGCTGAAGCAACCACCGCACGAGCCTTTAGAGGGTGATGAACCGAAGATAGAGGAAGGCGATGAAGAAGAAGCAGGAGAAGGCTTTGATGAAGAAGATATTGGCGAACTACCGCCATTGGCCGCTGGTGAGCAGGGGTTGGCTGGAGGAGAGCTAGTCCGCCTCCCAGCAGGCCGCGGTGAAGAGGCGGGTGAGCAGGGGTTGGCTAGAGGAGAGCCAGTCCGCCTCCCTGCCCCACCGCAGGGCGAAGAGGCCGGTGAGCAGGGGTTGGCTAGAGGAGAGCCAGTCCGCCTCCCGGCCCCGCCCGAGGAGGAGGAAGAACCAGGGAAGTTGGAGGAGGAAACAGAGCTGAGAGTGTACAGAATGGCACTCCCAATGGTGACAAAGACAGCAAGGGAGGTGAGCGCGACGGCGATGGAGTTCGTCTTGCGCTTGAGAGCTGACGGCTACCACATTGGCCGCATACACTGCGACCGGGGGCACGAGTTTGAGGGTGCCTTCGGAAGATGGGCCAGAAGCCGTGGCATTTACGTCACAAAGACGGCTGGAGACGACCCGCAAGGGAATGGAAGAGCAGAGGTGGCTGTAAAAGCCATAAAAGCCCAAGTGAGAAGGACGTTGAGACAGGCAGAGCTGGACTCATCTCACTGGCCATGGGCGTTGAGGTACGTGGATGAAATCAACAGGTGTGTGCGCCGAGGAACCACGCCTGACTGGCCGAGGTTTCATCAAGAAGTGCGAGTTCGAAAGCGCACCTGGAGGAGAGGTGCCTTCGAGCCAGTGGTGGAGCGTGTCCACTATCTCTGTCCGTCAATTGAAGACCATGGACATTGGGTACAAAAGCCAGGAGAGCCACCACGAGTTACAAAGTATGTCATGCAGCAAACGACAGAGCCAGTGGACAACTCAGTGTGGGTCGCCCTGGAAAAGACTATTCCCGACGCTTGGAGCGTGAGGAGAAGATTGAGAGGAAAGACAGCAGTAAGAAAGCTGCATCGGTCTCTTCGAGAAGAGAAGGAAGATGAGGCCGAAGACAAGAGAAAGGAGGAGGTGCAGAGGATCCATCAGGTCATAGAAGAAGAAATGAGGTTGATTGTAGAAGAAGAGCCACAGATCGCGGCCGACATGATGCGCATCATTGGAAGCCTGAAAAAGATGGCAACTGGAGATGATGCGACTGAAGAAGTACTTCAGACCAAGATCGTCTCACCGAAGGAAGTTGCTCGCTGTTGGAGCGAGTGGCTTGAGGCCATAGACAGCGAGGTGAAATCGCTGACGGAGGAGAAAGAAGCACTTCGTCAGCTCACAAAGGAAGAGCATGAAAAGATGAAGGTAGAAGCAGAAAAAAGAGGCAGGAAAGTTGAGTACCTGCCTTCAAAAGTGGTATTCACCTTGAAGCCGTCACCAGGTGGCGGAAAACGAAAGGCGAGATGGGTTGTCTGCGGAAACTTTGAAGAAAAGAGAGAAAATGAGGAGACATATTCAGGGGGAGCAGACGCCACTGCCTTCAGAGTTCTGGTGTGGGTAGCCTCAAAGTTTGATTGGGTGGGCTGCATCATCGACATCAAAACCGCGTTTTTGAACGCCGAAATGGAGGTCACTGAAGATGAGAATGACCTCCTGATTTTGCCCCCTTCAATCATGACAGAAAAAGGATATCTGCCCAGAAACACAGTCTACAAGCCACTGAAGGCGGTGTATGGATTCCGCCGATCGCCTCGTCTGTGGGGAAACCACAGAGACAAAGTCATGAGAGGTTTGCAGATCAAAGTTCAGAGAGGAGAAAGTGAAGTTGAAGTCTGCTTGGTTCAGCTGGAGTCAGAGCCGAATCTATGGAAGGTGATCCCAATCGAGGGGGAGGACGATATGAGAGAGGCATCCCTGTCAAATCACAAGGTGCTCGGGTTGGTGATGACCTATGTGGATGACATCTGTGTCGTTGGTGAAGACGCAGTGGTGTCGTCACTGATCGAGGCACTTCGGTCAACGTGGACCACATCAGAGCCAGAATGGATTGGTGAAACTGCAGTGAGGTTTTTGGGCATGGAGGTGGTGAAGTTACAGAATGAAAGTGGGAGTCGCTGGTTCATCACACAGGAGTCCTACATCAGAGACCTCTTGTCCAGATACGAAAGTGAGGAGACAGTCAGAGAAAGAAGGACTCCAATCACTCGAGACCAATCCATCATGGAAGAAGATCCAGAAACTCCTGCCTTGCATCAAGTCAGGAGGTGTCAAAAAGAGGTAGGAGAGTTGCTGTGGCTGGTCACGCGAACCCGTCCAGACTTGATGTTCAGTGTCGCAAGAATGGGAGCCAATGTCACCAAGGCTACCAAGTCTGTTTTGGAAACAGCGTCTCAGACGAGAGGCTATTTGAAGAGGACGGTGGTTGAAGGACTGATGATGGGAGAACAAAAAGAAAGAGAAGTCTGCATCCAAGCTTTTGCAGACGCATCGTTTTCTCCAGATGGAGAGGAGTCACATGGAAGTTACGTTGTGTTTGCCAACGACAGTCCCCTTTTTTGGAGAAGCGGCAGGCAGACAACCGTGACGTTGTCCACAGCCGAGTCTGAACTGACAGAGCTAGTAGAGGCAATCAGCGCTGGCGAAGCTGTGGCGGTGATAGTGAGCGAATTGTTCCAGGATATCAAGAAGTTTGCCTGGTCAGATAGCCAATCAGCTTTAGCTATCTTGGTTAATGAAGGTGGAAACTGGCGCACTAGGCACTTGAGGATGAGAGCTGCCTACACCAGACAGGCAGTCCACTCTGGTGAGTGGGGTGTGGGCCACCTTCCTGGTGATCGAATGGTCGCCGACATTGGCACAAAGGCATTGGCATCACAGCGGATCGATGTCCTCAAGCAGCATCTTGGCATGTCATCCATCCCAATGCAGCCCAGTGTGATCGCACCTGCGACCTCTGTGGCAGCATTGAAGCCCAGTGTGATCGCTCATGCGACCTCTGAGGATACAAGAAAAGGGATGGATGGTGCGAAGATGTCACAAGCGGCAACGGCCTTGAAGCTCATCACGTTGGCCGCTATGATTTCAGCTGGAAAGAGTCAGGAGGAAGAAGATATGGAAGAAGGACAGAAAGAATTACAGCTCATCATGGCAGCATTTGCCATCCTGGTGGTCTTGATCACTCTTGTGGCCCAACATGTGTGGAAGGTAGGAGTAGGATTGTGGAATCGGGGAAACGAACAGATTCCCGAAAAGCAGATCCGAAGTCTCCCTGCGCAAGAAGGTCGAAGGAGTGATCAGACGGCCGATCAAAGAAAAGCGGGTAGTGCTGATGGTGAGAAGGGGTTGGCTGAACGAGAGCCAGTCCGCCTCCCATCAGGGGACAGGGAGAAGGCTTTGCAGCCCTCCCTGCTGGGTGAGAAGGGGTTGGCTAGAGGAGAGCCAGTCCGCCTCCCCGGCCCTGAGGCGACATCGCCTGGTCTCTCAGGTGGTCCCGGCCCCGCAGAAAAAGAAAGAAAGAGCGGTCAAAAGGCCGGCCAACGAAAGGCAGGTTGCGCTGATGGTGAGAAGGGGTTGGCTAGAGGAGAGCCAGTCCGCCTCCCATCAGGGGGCAGGGAGAAGGCTTTGCAGCCCTCCCCATCGGGTGAGAAGGGGTTGGCTAGAGGAGAGCCAGTCCGCCTCCCCGGCCAGGAGGAAGCGTCGTCTAGCTCCTCTGGCGGCCCCGGCCCTGCACAAGAAAGCCTTGAAAAAAGAATCGAAAGAGAACTGGAAAAGATCAAAGAAGAAGAGACAGAATTGTGGCGTCAGGCCAATTTAGCTCCGCTACCACCAGTTCTGATTGAACCGGTAGAAGAGAGTGAAGAAGAAGGTCTTCGATTTCCAGTCATGAGAACGAAGTATGGATCAGTATATCACAGTGCCCTCACTTGCAAACATCTCCAAGGAGCCAAAGTCAACTTGCCTCGAACTTTCAAATGGTGCCAAGTTTGCAGAGGGGTGGCGCTCAGAACACGAGGGCGTCCACCACCAGGAACGAATCTTTTGTTGTCAGCTCATGGAAACGCAATCCATACTGACGATCGATGCCCTTGGGTCAAAGATGCGAAGCCAACACCATTTTGTTTGACTTGCAAAGAGCGTGAGAGGGGCTAGTTTGAGTCAGGAAATTGGAAATCCCTGACGGAATTCCAAAGGGGGAGTGCTGTTTTCCCCTGTCTTTTTGCACATACATGTCAGTTGCATTGACATTTCACATATCCAAATTCATCCTTGGCATGCATGAAGCTGCCGCTTTTGAAATCTCAAGACATTTGTGCCTTGGAGAAACGGAGAGGACGCGGTTTGGGAGGAGAGACTGGGCTTGCACAAAACGAGAAGTGTAACAAGTTCTGGTCTAGAAGCTCAAACCTGACTGTGATATCAGCACAAACAAACATCAAAAAACCATGGGTGGTTCATCTTGGTTCATCTTGATTCATCTTGGTTCATCTTGGTTCATCTTGGTTCATCTTGGTTCATCTTGGTTCATCTTGGTTCATCTTCCGGAATTGAACTGGAATATTCTATCGACTATCGAACAATTGATGGTTTATTCTATGTACAACGTTTTTTCAATTCCTGAAGATGCCCCGAAATGACCAACAAGTTCAATTGTATATTCTGTGTATGTATGCGTAGTTTCTTATGTATAAATATAAATATACATGTGTGTATATATATATAGGAAAGACACATACATACGTAGTTTCAATATGTCCAATTCCAAGGCATTCCAGTTTCATTTACTGTAGACTCTTGCAAATTGATCAAAACAAGGTGGCAAGCCAAGGACCTCGGACTATCAGTTTTACAATCCCTCAGGTTATCTTGGGACCATCAAGGTTTGTGCAATTTGCTCCTGAATCAGGGATCAGTCCGCAAGCAGTGTCCATGTCAGGTTTCTTCTCCTGTGCGAGCTTCAAATTTTCAAGGCATTTGCGACCCTCTGTTTTCGGGGACAAGTCGATAATTAATATAATTAGTATCAGTTGTATGAAGAACTGCCCACTCTACAGCCAATTCGTAGGTACCTGTCTCACCCTCACTTGGAAAGCTAAAGAGCCCTTAGTAATCTACTGTACATACGAGCAATATGCGAGTAACCCAAGCGAGGCCGCTAATTTCCTCTCTACACGAACAAAGCGCAAAGGCCAGATATGGCTAAATCGCGTCCAATCTCATGAAGTCTGAAGGCGGGCCTGGCAAAAGCTAAGTGGCTCTGCATTCTCTCCGACCTCAGTCGCTTTTGAGGCTCTAGTCAAACCGCTACAGCAATCTTCAAACGCACAATGTCTTCCTGTGACTACATTCATGGTCCTTTGTCCAAACTATTGTGCTGCTCCCATCTCATTAATCAGTGTGTCTGATCTGAAACCCACGTGATCTTTGCATATCTCCCCGATCACCAAACTACAGTACAAGAATAAGAAAAAAAAGATATGTGTATGGGCAGAATAAAAGAAGAGCATGCACACAACAGAGACAGCAGCACGAGCAGCACCAACTGCAGCACTAGCAGCACCATCGGAAACAGCCACAGCAGCAGTTGCAGCAGCAACAACAGGTTTGACAGCCTTAACAACTGCAACAGCTTCAACAGCTTCAACTTCAAGAACGTTGCGACAATAACATGCAACAACAATAGCAAGAGCACCACCAGCACCACCGCAACCTCTAGTCCACATTCAGTTGAAACATGTTGAAACTAGTTCATGGCAAAGCAAATCTGTTTTCATGGCAGAGACCGGTCTCAGGTCCAGGACTGCAATTCCTCTGAAGTCGAGGCCCCAGTGTACCGTACCCACAGACTGCAGAGATTCCTCTCCGCTGCACTGTGACATGTTCTACTTGGAGGAACTGTTTGATTTCCGTCCATGTGGAAACCAACCGATGGCTCAGCTAAATGAGTATGGCTACTGTAAGTGAATCCAGAAGCCACAACACCGCACGATACAGAATCTGAGAGAAAGCCTACAGGTTTCACCTTGAATATAGAAATGGTGGCGTGAGAAGCAAAAAAACAGCAACGCGAACACGGACTTTTCAAAATATCGCACAGAAAGAACTCGATTCTGCAGGTTCTTCCTGTCAGACACTTGTGAACAGGAGGTAGAAGCCGTCGTAGATTAAAATCACTTGTCACGTTGTGTCACTATTGGATGAGCTATGCTTGATGGTGCAGCTTCCTGACATCAGCAGGGTTTGTTTGGCTCCTGTGTGATTGGGGCCTCAACATTACATCATTTACATCATTTACATCCCATCCAATACTGTATCATCCCATCACATCAATTCCGTTCCATTCCATTAAGTTTGGCTACATTCCATTATATTCCACTACATTGTCACTACATTCCATGTCATTCCATTGTATTAAAATATATACGTCTTGTATCATCTCAAAGATATCTGCACTATTCTGCACTCAACTACAAGAACTAAGGTATTCGAGAAGAGCTTGCATTACATTGTAGGACCACCCAAGCTCCTTAATGCGGGGCTCGTTGAGACCCAGGACGCCTGCGCAGGGTGCATTGTGGATCAACAATGATCAACACACATTCCAAACATTTCCAAGCAATGATTATCAATGATTGATCCACGTTCTGGCAGCTCCCACAAACATCACAAACTCTTCAGCATGGTCCTGTTCTGTCTTGTTCTGTCTACATCATGTCTACATCTGCCTACTCTACTCACGTCGTTCTCCTGTTGACACATTGTATTCTGATGTATTCTGCAGGCGGTTCTGCCATGCCTGGACCTTCATCGTTGAAGCACATTGAAAATCGCTCAATGCCTGTCTATTTCAGAGAACAGCCGAGTACAGCGACAAAGAAACACTTGAAACCTGCAAAGTGAAGAAATGTGAAGCGGTATCAAAGACCAACATGTTCACAGCATGTCACAAACCTCTGTGAAAGTTGTGATAAACAAATAAAATTTTCATAATTATTGAATATCATTGTTCCCTTCTTGGACTTTCTGTGACTTCCATTCTGGATGAATGAAGTTCAACCAACATGCCAAACCCATTGATGCATAAACACCTACACACCTGTCGGGGCTGACCATGTCGTAATATGTCGTAGAGTAAAGTATTGTACACGCCGCAACATGCCGCAGCCCTGCTTCATGAGTCTTAAAGTGTCTTCAAAAGCAGCCCACTGATGTCACACCCGGCCTGCCAATTTCATGAAGCCTGGAACCATCTTCGAAGCATTGTCACCGCGATGAGGCCTGCTCACATCTGCTCACATCCCTCCCATTCAGTGGGGATAGCATGGGGATAGCATGGGATAGCTCAAGCAAAGAAAACTGACACGCATAATGCGGGACACAGGACCACACATCCTTTTCATCGTCCCAGGCTAGTACCCATTGAGTGCAAAGCGTCCTTGTTGTCATTGAGAGACCACGGTGGGTGTTGGTATGGAACTTGCAGTTGTACGACTCGTTGGATAGATAGCAGTTGGATCAAGTTGGAAGCACTAGCTCAGACTTGCAACTGCGCAATCCGATGAGTACTAAATTAAATTAAAATGCTGATCAGAAAGCCAAAATCAATTCGCGTACTTCAAATTATCCTTCGCAGAATTGCCTACATTCTGTAGCGTCTCCAATAAGACTTTGCTCACAGATCAGGAAGGGTGCAACCATGCAGAACCCATTCCCATAGGATCCCATAGGGCTATAGGCCATACAGGGCCTCCAAATGGCCCAGATTTTAGTTCTGCACCTTCCAAGGCCCAGGATCCCCTCAAACTGACCACGGATCTTCAGGTCCTGTGAGTTTTGAGAATATCAGCGGAGTGGACCAAATAAAACATTCAAGTACACCGTGTACACACCGTGTATACACCGTGTACACCACCAAAAAAACAACAGGGGAAAGGTATAATGAATTAATATGAACATATATGAACTTATAATTATTGTAGACTTGTTCTTAGTTGATTTTGCTTGGTTTGGAGTTTGCTGCTCAACAACATCTTGTCAGTCGTTGTCGCCCGTGATCCTACATGGGATTCATCTGCAAAATTTACTTTAAATTCAAAACGGTTTCCTCGTCTTAAATCTACTTTTCCCCTCTGATTAAATCTTCAGTCCTCGCCTCGTTACATTCAAAACGGATTTCAGCCCTCGTCCCATTTCTTTCTCGACCGCAAGCCATTCGAACTAGTCCTCTGCCTCCTTTTGGGTTGAACTTTTTTGAATTATCTTTGTCGTCGTTGCAGCAACGCTCTGGGCTCCAGAGGCTTGGGGATGCTGAAAAAACTTTTCAGGGCCTAAAAAGTTTTTTCCTGTTTCCGAGATGCCTCTTTTACAAGCGGATTTGCAGGGGCTCGATTCCCCCCAAATTCGACCCCAGAGAAGAGAAGCTGCAGCAGCAGCACCAAGATACCCTGCTACACCTCAAGCTTTAGCAATTTTAGAATCTAGTCGCGCTACCTGGGAAAGGTGAATAAGAACTATTGACCAAAATTTCAGGGTTCCCTAGGGTTCTTATTTCAATTAGCTGGTTGACAGAGTTGAATCCAGCAATCCAGCCCCTGAGGTTCTTAATGCAGTGGGTTCTTAAACAGTGGTTTCACTGTAGAACAAATACGGAAGTCCTGGAACAACCGGGCATGCCACCACAGGGCACTGACTGAAATTACGATAAAAAAACTTTTCGGGCTCCAGAAAGTTTTTTTTTCACGGGGTCTGAATGCACCCTTAATTTTCTATTTTTTTCACTCTGATGGGAAAAAAAAACTTTCTGGAGCCCGAAAAGTTTTTTTTCACTCGTTAGACATGCTTTGAAAGCAATTTCTGCCCACCTCGTTTTCTGAATTTAATTAATTCACCTCGCTTAAATTGCAAAGATTCACCTCGTACCTCGTCAGCCCTCGCTCTAAATTATGCAGATTCATGGGTTTGCCTCAATTCGCCTCATCTCATGCAATCCGTGAAGAACTCACGTTCCAAAAACATGCAATAAGCTGGCAGCAACATGCAGCAACTTCCGGAACTTGGAGCAGCAGGAACCTGCTTCACCATCAACAGCAGGCTTTGGTTCCTTGGATATCTCGGATGCACGGCATCTGGACTTCAGGAAAGAATTGTCCGCTCTGCAATGGAGGGACTAGACATCATGGCAGCCAGAATTGTGCTTTGCTCACCCTGCCAAGCACTTGCGGCACTCCAAAGAAGAACATCTTGGAATATGGTTGGAATCATTGGAAATCATTGGAATCTGCGTTTCTTCCCGCAGCTTAGCATCATAAAGGCGTTGGCATCACCAACCTCGACCTTGTCGGAGCTCTTCACCACAAGGATGTCGCCGCTGCCTCAGTAACAACTGCCGAGGACAGCGCCGCGTCTTGCTTTGCTTCAAAACTTGAGCTGAAACATGCCGAAACTCATTTTCCTGGCGTGGTTCCCTTACAATGAGTGGGCCAAACCATGACAGCTGGCATGTTTTCCAGGTTACCGGACCAAAAGACATCACAAATCCCTTCAGGCCTTCCTCACCGGCCTTCAACGACGAAGCATGACGAAGCATGACGAAGCATGACGAAGCATGACGAACTGGTGATTCAAATGTCGTTCTTCTATCAGGCCTTGAGTGGATCTTTTTGCTGCTCCCACTTTTCAATTTGTTTTCTATCTATTGTCAATAACAACTCTGTTTACGTTGCAGTCTGTTTCGGGATCTGTTTTACAATGCCCTACCACTCCTCGTTGTGGGCCATCTCGATATGAAAGGTTGATGATCTCCCCGTGCCTGCAAGCTCCCCAAATGTCACAATATGTCACAATGTAACAATGGTTTGACAAAATTTGAAGATGTTTAACTGTTTGAAGCCAAAGGGATTGCCACGGCACTTTCCATGGCCTCTGAAGCATTTCCCATACTCTTGTGGGCAGAATCGCTGCTCCTTACCTCAGAAGGCGCCTTTGCCAACTGCAGGACAACTCATCGTTTCTGCGTCTACCGGAGTCTACCGTGTTATAAAAGATTCAACTTCATAGCTGGATGTCAGATGATGTAAGATACCACAACAAACATCAGGCTCACAGGGTGTGGCATTCCACGCTAGCAAGCAAGCATGTATATAGGTAGGCAGCAATGCACGCATATTTAAAGTGGGGTTTCAAACGACCCTAAATGTATATACATATATTAATTTGTTTATATGCATGTACACGTGTCACCAAATGATGTGTCACCAAATCATGCGTGCACACTCTTCAACCACATGCATTACACACCTACAGAGATGTTGGAAGCTTTTCCCTGTGCTTTTCTGATACTGCAGATTGGGAGATCGCTTCCGAGGCAAGTTGGAAGCAATCGCTTCCGAGAATTCCGCCGGGCTGCAAATGCACGACTGCACAATCACGTTGTCGCTGCCTGCTTACCGACATAACCAAGACTGCTTGCTCACTGGTTGAGAAACTGGGCATGGGTTCTGAAACTGTACAATATACAGTAGCATGATGATATAGCTTTATAATGCTTTAGATAGTATTGCGAGCGCCAGAAAAGAATGCAAGTCCAGGAATCAAACTACTGTAACTGCTGGTTGTAGGAGTACAAACATGTCAAGCGCTTCAGCAAATTCTTGGAGATTCAATCATGAAAAACAAGGGTAAAGATCATACCTGCAACAGCAATGACTTTTCCGGCTCTGCTGCCCTCGAAAGAAACAACAAAAACTATTTAGACAGATGGCCAAAGCAAGCTTTTCGGGCACACACACACAAAGAATCACAAAGACACGTCTATATAGTTCCAAGGAACAACACCCATTATACACGACCTGGGGCTATCTACAGCAACGAAGCAGGCTGGACAAGGCTGGACCTGTGTCTGCGACAAGCTCGAAGTATTGAGGCGGGGTGCCGATGCCCACCTGGTCAAACATTGGCCAAGGTCATGATGACATGGCATGGCGGCACTGTCATCATGAGAGTCATCACATGTCATCACTGTATGATGAAGCTGAGCTTGGCTGGTTAGAGACCATGGAGCAAAGTGAAACATATTTCGAGACGTCCCACCTGCTGATCCTATTGATCTTTCACCGATCTTCACCGAACCTTCGCAGAGGAAAACGAACCATGGTTCTCCAAGGAGGTGCAAGTTGCCTCAAAGCGCAGCTGCAAACCGATGAGTCTGGCAACCATCCAAGATGATCGAAGCACATACAACTTATAATTTATCCCCTTTAGATTGTGTGTTTATTTCATATAATGTATATATATATATATATTATATGTATTATGTTTAAGAAAATGATAGAGAATGAAATTTGGAGACAAGATGAGACAAGCGTGTCTCGGTGCACGTCTGAGACTCCCACCTTGGCCTCAACAACCTTGCGGTGTGCACCAAATTGTCTGCGTATCTTTCTGCAACGATTGGCACTGCAGTGGAACATGATGGAACATGCATACCCCGCAGGTGACTTGTTCTCACAAAATCTCACAAACATGCAGTCCAAAGAGTCCTACTCTGTCCTGATGTAACCTGCACTGCAATTTGACTGCGTGCTGCCTTCAAGCGTAAGCAACGAAGAATCTTAGCTGTGCTTAAAAGGAAATTTGGATGTCCCTTTTTGCCCAACGGCCCTTAAGTGGTCTGAGGGAGTGTCAGGCGCAGTTTCAGTCTGTGTAGCCGGAGACTCCGGTGTAGCCGCAGCTGGTGTTGCCTTTCCGTGAGGCCAAACGAGATTCAAACACTTTGTTGGACAGCTGTTAATTCTGTGAATCTTCCGTTGGACAGCACTTCTTCAAGATTCCGAATCAACAATGTCAACAATGTCATGAGGTCAGATCATGCAAAATTTTGATGAGGTACCCCAGTGATCCCCAGTGCATGTCCATTCAAGAAGCTGAATAGTATCTATATCCAGTGATCGTTGGTTCGGCAGAGTTACTTGGTTCGCTTGTCAGTACCCTTTCATGCGAGGACGTAATGATCAGTCCCCTATTATTGATATCTTGTGTCCGCGTGTCCACCATAATACACTACACTCAAAGTATCATCAAATATCCCGACCTCATTTTCAGGTACAGCAGTCTCTGGCTCTTGCTTGTCAGGTAGTTCCTCTGGAGGATGCAAATCTCGCTGGTGTCTTTCCAAATTCCGTCACAGTTTCATTCTGTTCTTTTCTAAACAACCAAAAGTTGCACGTGTTGTTAAACTGTCTCGCGTTTTTCTCTTGATTATAGCAATGCACTTGCACGGCACAATCAATATCAATCAATTATGTGGAATGCAAATCCTTTCGGTTTCTCCCTTGCACAATCGTTGCAGAATCATGCTGGACATCCTAGACAGAGCACTGCCACTGCCATGTGACCCTGTGAGTTGCAGGCACCTTCGCACTTCGAACACCTCTCAATTGGCGGAGTTCCACTTGGCATTCCTGGCTTTTGGATTGCGCACAATCCAACAGTTAGACTACATTTACATCTTGCATGCACGGGTGAGCAAGGAATCAAACCTAGCCATTCAAATGTTCCAATTCAAGATATGACTGGAACAAACCGTGTTTCTTGAGCTTCTCTGCGAATTCTCGACTTTCACCAGCTCAAGCTCAGATGCATGAGCCTCATCAATGCAATCGTCTACCAAAAGTGCGTCAAAATCAGCGTGGACTGCAGTGAAAAGGAACGCCTCAGGGTTCACGATAGCGCCTTGACCGTTCTCAATCTCCAAGAAGTGTCAAATGTAAGGAGACAAGCCGTTGCCGATCACTCTTCAAAAAGAATCACAGCACCTTTGTGGTTTCTGCTGACATCGATATAGACAAAGAATAAGCAGCCCAAGATGCAAGATGAACAGAACAACATAGGTTCAGCATGGTTCAGCACAGTCAAGTTCATGGATCTGATCACGATTACCAATAGGGATCAATTGTGATGGAGGAGTGGCTTTCTCTTGGAGCAGAAATTAGGTGAAAAAACCAGAACACTAAAACGCAACTTCACTCACTTCCTCGTGACCACCAATGCCAAAACATTCTATCAAGAAAGAAACCCGAGTCATGAGTTTCCGAATTCTGGTTAGACATGTTATATCGCAAAACTCCATTTGCAGGAGAAAGCTTGGTTTCGGAAACTCCACCAATCATCAAACCCCGTGACTGTGGGTAGTTGTGCGAATTAAAACTGGAATCCCCCTGTTGTCGGGATATTTCTGCTGATTCCATCTGCAAATGAGATTGGCTGGCGTTCAGACACGCAGTGACACGCACAAAAAAATACCCTTGCTATGTGTAGCCACGTAATCGGCCTGAGTTATCCTGAGTTCCCAGCCAAGAAAATCTTCAGCGCCATCATGACGAGGCGCTCAAAACAAAAGCACTTTGAACGTTTGTAAAACGAATCTGAACGGCAGCGGGAAAGGAGCGCATCTTTGACAGAATGAAGCAGAAATCTACAGTACCACCTGCTTCTGCCAAAACAGGCAGAGAATGATGAAGTATGTACGTTAGCTGTGATTCTGTAACAATCAAAAAGCTAACTTGCTGCTAGGCCGGCTCTCCTCTATCTAAGAACTTCACTTGCACCTATCCAGAGAGCTATGCAATCTTGCTGGACAACACTGAGTCCATGTCTTGGAACTCAACCAAAGCACAGAGGTTCAACCAATGACATGCTCGTGATGGATCGTGCACAAATCGCCCTGCCCAAACAAAAAGTTTATGTGGACTGCATCTTGAAAGAACATGTAGTTTGGCATGTCCAATCTACGTTGACCTGTGTGGAGTGGGCATTTTGACACTGCAAAACTGAGTGAACCCCAAAGTCCCCAAAGACTCGCTTGTCAAAATAATTGTCATTCTGTCTTCTTTTCAATCCGCGCAGCGCCAAGTACGCATGCACCTCAGTAGGGAGAAGTAAGCTGCAAGTGAATGCACAAAGAGTATACATACAAATCATACAAGAATCTCCGCAGCCCAGTTCAATTTCGCAGGGAAAAAGAAGTGTCCACATCATTTCAAATCCAGGAACACGATAGGTCCTACCTTGGTATGCGAAACTCCAGCGAACTGGTCAAATGCTACATGCAGTTGCACATTGCTCCACCGTTCCATGACGTTCTTTCGGTTTTTTGACATCTCGGATGTTCGTCCTATTCTGCATCCATTTTCTATCCTTTTCGGATCCATATCTGGCCGCTCCACCTGAAGCCGGCTTTGGGCTCTCAAAACCTCAGACAATGGCATCTTACATCTACTACACTGTCAGATCTGCATATACACATCAATCACATAATATATATATTATCTTATATTATCGTACTCAAATTCCTCAGGCAAAACTACCCTCATGTCACCACGCGTTCAAACAACTGTAGCAATGGTGTGACTAGCACAAATAGGGGAAGCACATGTAAGCGACAAATACACAGATTCTTGTGTGTGCTTGAGAAGTGGAGCTCCAGAATCAATCCAACACAGAAAATCAAACATTCAGAATTCAGATCCATTCATAATTTCGAATCGGTGGCAAACACGCGTGCGACACGGTTTCTGATGGATCTGCATGCGGGAGTACCACTCGCGGCCTGTAAGCTGCAATTGAGTTTCCAGCTGCTCGGATCATTCTTCGAAGTGCCATCTCCACTGGGACTTCTTGACAATCCTGCTGAAAAATCTCAGCATGAACATGCGACATGATCTACTTTGGCCTTGCTCCAGTATAGAACAATTGCTGGACTTATCCGATGGAGTTGCAGATACTTGTGCTCGTACTGAGATCAAGTCATTAAATTAAATGCCGCACTGGAGATCTTTTCAGAAAATCTCCGCTAAGGATGGAGTTATACACTGGAAGATACTGGAAGTGTGCCAAACATGCCAAAACGACAGAACAGAAAATCGACCCAGCCTCCAAAAGTGCTACATTCTTCTCAAGCTGAACATCCAGGTCAGCCTCATGGACAAGAATTCCTTGAGAAGGTGAGGGACCAAAATTCTTACACCACAACCGTCACAACCGTCACAACCTACCAGGGAAAAACAATCGCAACGACTCGATGGATAGTCGTGTCATGTCGTGTCCGATCGGTTGTTGTGTCCGATGGATCGTCGTGATCATGCAGGATGTGCAATTGTATACGTAGAGTGCATTGGAACAAACTCGAGCATGACGGTGCCTGTTTGCGATCCAAAACAGCTGCCGCAGAAGCCCGAAACCAGGCCTAGGACAATTTGCAAGTTCCCTGTTGAATTCTGGTTGTGGCCGCAAATGAGTTTGGCATTTGGACATCCTTTCTCTGGTTGACGTCTGCTTCGGTAAACCATGACTCGTAAACTATATTTCGTAAACCATGACCTTTGCATGTGCTTGCCAGAGGGGGTAGGAGTTTGATATGACGTGTACGATGTGACTTCGCATGTACTTGCCAGAGGTAGGAGTTTGATATGACGTGTAAGATGTGACTTCGCATGTACTTGCCAGAGGGGGTGGGGAATTTGATATGACGTGTAAGATGTGACTTCGCATGTACTTGCCAGAGGGGGTGGGGAATTTGATATGACGTGTAAGATGTGACTTTGCATGTACTTGCCAGAGCGGGTTGGGATTTTGATATGACGTCTAAGATGTGACTTTGCATGTACTTGCCAGAGGGGATGGGATTTTGATATGACGTGTAAGATGTGACTTTGCATGTACTTGCCAGAGGCTTTTAATATGACGTGTAAGATGTGACTTTGCATGTACTTGCCAGAGGGGGTTGGGATTTTGATATGACGTGTAAGATGTGACTTTGCACGTACTTGCCAGAGGGAGTGGGATTTTGATATGACGTGTAAGATGTCACTTTGCATGTACTGGCCAGAGGGTCAGAGGGGGTTGGGATTTTGATATGACGTGTAAGATGTGACTTTGCATGTACTTGCCAGAGGGGATGGGATTTTGATATGACGTGTAAGATGTGACTTTGCATGTACTTCCCAGAGAGGTTGTGATTTTGATATGACGTGTAAGATGTGACTTTGCAATACTTTGCATGTATTTGCCAGAGGGGGTTGGATTTTGATATGACGTGTAAGACGTGACTGTGCATGTACTTGCCAGAGGAGTGGGACTTTGATGTGACGTGTAAGATGTGACTTTGCATGTGCTTGCCAGAGGGGGTTGGGAATTTGATATGACGTGTAAGATGTGACTTTGCATGTACTTGCCAGAGGGGGTGGGATTTTGATATGACATGTAAGGTGTGACTTTGCATGTACTTGCCAGAGGGGGTTGGGATTTTGATATGACGTCTAAGATGTGACTTTGCATGTACTTGCCAGAGGGGATGGGATTTTGATATGACGTGTAAGATGTGACTTTGCATGTACTTGCCAGAGGGGGTTGGGATTTTGATATGACGTGTAAGGTGTGACTTTGCATGTACTTTGATGATTTTAGTTTTTTGAATTTTGGTTGCTGAAGCGAGAGTGAGTTTTGGTTTCAGAAGCGTGGTTGCTGAAGCGAGAGTGAGTTTTGGTTGCTGAAGCGTAGTTGCCGAAGCGTAGTTTCTGAAGCGAGAGGGTGGGTTGGTTGCTGAGCCGTGGTTGCTGAAGCGTAGTTGCTGAGCCGTAGTTGCTAAAGCGGGGTTTAATCTCCTTTCACCCGCCATGTTTGCCCTCCACAAACAACTCCTAGCATACGAGTATTCTCTGCGTCAGAACATGCACGACATGCATATGTAGAATCACGCCTCTCTTAGACACCCCCCAAGGGTACATATAAAATGACATAAACATGTTTCTGTTTTCTTGGGCATTGTTTTTTTTGACCTTGAGCTATAGGCTCTCAGACCCCGACCCAGACTTTCACTCTCACACTCTCAGGGTCTACGAGTCTGCGAATTGGAATTTCTAGGCATTACAGCGGAACAGAATGAATAAAAATGTAATGTAATGTATAGTATAGTGTAATGTGTTGTTCTGTCACGCAAACCAATCGATGCAACTCCATGCAATTCCATGTTATTGCAATCCATTACATACTTTTCAATACATTACATGCCATCACATACCTTTACCATCCTTTACCTGTCTCCACGTGCCATTACATTCCATCCCACACCATTAGACACCATGCCATGCCATTGCAATAGATATATGTACGATTCCATCACATTGCACTACACTACAGTGCCATGCATGGACTACGCTCTGCGTGTTACTTTGTATAGTATAATATAGTATACAATATGCACATAAGACATACAGTAGTGACATTTAGAATTACTTGCATACTACTGTATTGATTGTGCATGCATGAATATGCAAACATATGCAAACAAGGCTGTATGCAGGAGCTGCAGGCACCTTTCGGGGTGCACCTACTCCGATGTGGTGCTGATGTGCGGGTCAGGAGGTTGGTATGCAGAATGTGTCCGAGTCACAGCAAAAACAATCAACTGGAAAAGGGCAAACCTGCACAGCTGTCAAGGAGACCTTGAGACCTTCATCAAACATTGTGGAGACTGAGGGGGTGATTGATTCCGTCTGCTCTCGAGACTGAAGGCAGCCGATGGAACACTGGGTAAGGGCACGTGGAAAGCGGCAGCAGCCAATGGAATCTGCGATGGGCCAGAACACCAAAAAGAGTACAGTGGGATGTTGACTCTTGATAATGGCATGTAAATGATTGCAAATGATTGTAAATGTACGGGGTTCCCAGAATGCGAATTTGCAAATATTGACATCCAACGGCGATGGTGGAGTATATATAGTTTGCATTCTATACTGTAATGACGCACATTATGCGGTAAACTTCCAGATCCACAAAGTTGTCTGCCATTTGAGACGTCCCGCAGAGCCTCCCAAGACAAATGCCGCGATCTGCGCACAGCATCCTCGCCTGCAAGCAATACACAAGGCTGCTACAGGTGCCACGATGCACATGTGATGCACATCTTCAATCGCGGCATGGTGCTGGTGCTCACACCATGAGACCTGACATTGCACGTGTACTGGGTACTGGTCTGCGAGGCATTTTGTTCTAAGAAGTCACTGCAAAAACCTGATCAGCACCAGGAGCGGAGAACTTTTTCCACAGCTCCAGCTCTAGAATATCTGGCGATCTGGGCATGAGACTTTTCTACAATAGCAATATATAGCAATAATAGAAGCATTTAACAATGACATACTGAGTAGAAGTCGGTTTGTACCAACGTTCCTCGGCCATGCCTTGCACTGGATTGTGTTCCACTGCTCGGAACCAGCAATGGAGTAGGGACTGCAAACACGAATCAGAAACATGCAAAAGAATCCCCCTTGCAATTCGGGCTCCGACCCTGACCCCTGAATCTTTAAGGGACCACTGGTAGCCTCTTAAAGAATGCGAACCAGGGCAAATTTCAGCCTTAAAGAATCTAACCCCAATGAACCAAGATTGCACACAGTAGCCAAGGTATGTCCCTTTAAAGGATTGGAGACCCAAGTTGCACACCAAGGGGTGCCCCTTTAAAGAATTGGATACCCAAGTTGCAGTCGAATGGACGACGGCGCAGTCAAGCATCATCAATAAGATGCGCATGCAATCATATGAGAACATATAGACTTATTTATTTGTGTCCATATTAGGATTATTATAATTCATTAGGCATTTTTTAGGTGAATTTTGAAAGCACATCTTTAACATTCTTCAACTCTGGAAGGTGTTTTAACAGATTTTAACACAAATTCTTGCATTTACAATTCTCCTTGGAATTATCCTGCTCACATGGACTCCAGCATTCTTTTGACAAAAAACGGAGGTCCACCTTGTACTACTGAAATGGCACATCTAAAGAATGCCTACCTAGGATGCAAGGGGTCTAAGACCATCTAAGAAATCATGGCCCAGGCAACCAACTACAACAAATACAAAAAAATACACAAAAATTACTTTGCTTCGAGTGATCCCCACCATGACATTTCAAAACAGCTTGTTGACACCACTTTTGTCTGAAGCTTTTGTCACGGGACTTTTGCCCAACTAACTATCCCAATCATTTGTTTCACCTGGCAGGTCATTGTGCATGTCAGCACCTGTCAAACAAACATGTTCAAACTGATTGCTTCAAACTTTGCCACCTGCAAAGTAAGAAGTGGCATTGCCCCGGTCACTCTACCACACACGCGCGAGTTTGCAAGTAATATATAACATACTTGTCTGACATTCTTTCTAACTGTCTTCTGCACATTCTTTGTCCCATATCTTCCTACATGAGGTCCGGCAGGGAACACTGGGCGTGGATACTCGCGGTTGAGGTCCGGCAGGGAACACTGGGCGTGGATGGTCGTGGTTGAGGTCCGGCAGGGAACACTGGGCGGGGATGGTCGTGGTTGAGGTCCGGCAGGGAACACTGGGCGTGGATGGTCGTGGTTGAGGTCCGACAGAGAACACTGTGCGTCGAGGGTCGCGGTTGAGCAGGAAGAGGAGGAGAGGAGAGGAGGAGAGGAGCAGGCAACTGACATAAAATCTAACAACCCTCACCTGGCAGGTGGGGAAAAACAAATACAAAAGTAAACCTCTAAAAAAATAGGGCGTCCATGTTAGCCATGTGGACATCAACAAACATAAAAAACACCAAACGTACCCAAATGATTCCGTTGCACACCGGAGATGAAATTTGCCCTTCTTTTGCCCATGCCAGATTAGCGGCTTCTGTTTTTGTCATGGCAGAAGCTTCTGCCAAAGCGTTGTCTTTGGCTGCCTGCTCTTGTTTCATTTTTCTGGTTTGATCAAAATTGATTGTAAACAACATATCCCCCTTTGCATTCAGTCTTTGACCCGGGTGTCCGGTTCTTTGGTGGAGGGTGCCATTAAAGAATGATAAAGAATGAAGTCCTGCCTCCGGACACAATGAGTTTTGATGGATCTTCTAAAGACAACTGGTGTTATGCCTGGGGATCTTGGGGATTTCCTGCGGACGTCTGGATATGAGACGTGGGCTGGGTTCGAGCTGGTGTTTTGATTCTTTAGAGGCTCAAGCCTGTCGACCCTACAACTTGGGATATTTTGGGGAGGGTGCCACAAAAAAGAATCAGGTCCTGCCTCCCGACACAGGGAAGGGTGTCCTTAAAGAATCAGGTCCTGCCAAAACACTGTTTTTTTCGAGCTGTTGTTTTGATTCTTTGGAGGCTCAGGGCGTGTCGACCCTGCAAAACCTGGCAGTTTTTCACAGTTTGGGGTATTTTTTGGGAGGGTGCCATTAAAAAATAAGGTCCTACCTCCGGACACAGTGGGTTTCGATGGATCTTCTAGAAACAATTGGTGTTATGCCTAGGGATCTTGGGGATTTCCTGGGGACGTCTGGATATGAGACGTGGGCTGGGTTCGAGCTGGCGTTTTGATTCTTTAGAGGCTCAGGCCTGTCGACCCTACAACTTGGGATATTTTGAGGGGGGTGCCACTAAAGAATCACGTCCTGCCTTCCGACACAGGGAAGGGTGTCCTTAAAGAATCAGGTCCTGCCAAAACACTATTTTTTTTAACTGGTAGTTTGATTCTTTAGAGGCTCAGGGCATGTCGGCCCTGCAAAACCCGGCAGTTTTTCACAGTTTAGGGTATTTTTTGGGAGGGTGCCATTAAAAAATAAGGTCCTACCTCCGGACACAGTGGGTTCCGATGGATCTTCTAGAGACAATTGGTGTTATGCCTGGGGATCTTGGGGATTTCCTGGGGACGTCTGGATATGAGACCTGGACTGGGTTCGAGCTGGTGTTTTAATTCTTTAGAGGCTCAGGCCTGTCGACCCTACAACTTGGGATATTTTGGGGAGGGTGCCACTAAAGAATCACGTCCTGCCTCCCGACACAGGGAAAGGTGTCCTTAAAGAATCAAGTCCTGCCAAAACATTGTTTTTTTCTGAGCTGGTGTTTTGATTCTTTGGAGGCTCAGGGCGTGTCGACCCTGCAAAACCTGGCAGTTTTTCACAGTTTGGGGTATTTTTTGGGAGGGTGCCATTAAAAAATAAGGTCCTACCTCCGGACACAGTGGGTTTCGATGGATCTTCTAGAGACAATTGGTGTTATGCCTGGGGATCTTGGGGATTTCCTCGGGACGTCTGGATATGAGAACTGGACTGGGTTCGAGCTGGTGTCTGATTCTTTAGAGCTATACCTTGCAAAACGATAAACATACTTATTTGTAAAAATCAATATATGCAATTTGCTGCTTTTATCATATCTAGTCTCAGTTTGATTGCGTTTATTGAGCCATGTTTTGGCCAGCACTTTAAACATTGACAAACTCAACTTAGGGTTCCAAATTAAATCTCTAAAGAATCAAGGGGGAACTGATAACCCGGGTTGACTTATGTTTTAGCCAGGGAAAATTCCAAGAGGGATAACACCATATGATTTTCAAACGCTCTGTTTTCAAACGCTCATAAATGTGCAATAGTCCGGCGTCCCTGAAGAATGTCCTTGTTGAAAAATCAGTTGAAATGTGTTGTCAATGTTGAAACTTGTTTGGCTCATCTGCGATACAAACGATGGCCGGCGCACAACAGCAGTTTTAGCAAATCGCAAAAATTCAAAGAGCTTGTCTATTGCCCCTAGGAAATCTTTGCAAAAAATGGGGACTCCGGGTTAGCCATGTGGAAAAATCATCTGTTTTTGCATTTAAAAAAAAAAAAAAGTTTTTTGCGACAACCCGGGTTGTTGCATTTTTAAACTGGAAATTCCAAGGGGGATCATTTACATGCAATCTCTCATCACGTTTTCATCTTCCATCTCACCTTCACGTCTTCTGCTTGTGAGCATCTGTTCAAGCGGCAGGCAAGCTGGTTTTCATTTGACACACAATCCCAAAAACATTGATGAACATACCAAAAAAATCCAAAAAACAAGTTCCTAGAATCTTCCTAGGAAGACCTCTTAAAGAATAGGAGAGCGTTAAAAACAGTATATATCTTAAAAAATGAAACTGTTTTTTTTGGCCGGCCAGGTATGTCCCTTAAAAAATACAGTTTTTTAAAGACATCATGTCCTGAACTCTTTAGGCTAAATTCCCAGGAGGATGCAAAAGATTGGTACATATTGGTACATGACCATAGGAAAGTCTGGGAATCCAGGCGGCGTAAAGGAGAATGTGGCAGCTACACACTTCGACTTCCTTCAAACTTGCGACCTCTTGACCTCTCACCCTGCCTTCATGAAATCTCGTTCCCAGCGACAGAGCTGTAAGGCTGACAGGCCTGCAGCCAGAATGAGTGGGTTCACCACGGCAGAGTGTCTAAGTGGCATTGACAAGATCATCATGATCTTTCACAAAAAGATGCCAACAATACTGTACATATACAGACCTCTCTCCTCCATTCTCCTCCCCTGTCGAATTTCAATGGCAAAGCCTGCTATTCTGAAGGAAACTTCCAGCAAGTGTCTCCAGCCCCGGTCCACTTATGAATACAGCAGTTGATAGGCTCACATATTGGCAGCAAAGAAAAGGCACCTTTCTCCTTGCGCTGCAATGCTCGAAATGCCTGTGCAACACTTGACGCAGTTTGAATGAAATCATGTGAAAGTGCAAGGTTATCACATAAAATCATCTCTGCAGCTGCAAATGCAACATCTACCAAGTCATCAGCAGTCCTCAGGGTCAATAGTCTTCAGCATAAGCAACAACTCAGGAAATGGACTCGTGTTTAGCCTATTAACATCCATTAACTATTGGCCAGACTGGCCAGCAGCTTCCTGGTCTACATACACGTCCCTAGAAAGTAGACCAAAAATGACCCATGCCACCGTGAATGTCACCGAGGTCTTGTCGGAAATGCTGTGTTTGCCTGCAAAACACGACGCTGCCAGAGCCGCATGCGAGCAAGGTGTAGTGCACCCAAAGAGGCCAGCACGACGGAGGCTCCTCCGTGCAAGTCACACTGAATTTGCACAATGAAGACCATATGATATCAAAATATACGAACTGATACCAATGGATCAAGTGAGACTAGCTTCACACAAGCAAGGGTCGAGCACGGATGTTTGTTTTCCCCAAACTAATTACTGTATCATATTGTATCACGTTGTATCGATTTGCTTCGTGCTTCACAATTTTCTCCCGTGAGCCTCTTCGGTCACTCAAACGACAAATGCGATGAAGGAATCCATTCAGGCGGCAGGACCTGGACAGCGACAAATCACAAGCAAAGCATCGTCATATCGTCCTGCATCGTCAACATCCTGAACTTGCCAAAAGACATCGCTTAGAGACTTAGATAGAGTCAGATAATCTTAGGGATGGTTGACAATGCTGTGAATCAAACATCATCAAACACTCTATTTGCCGAAAATTCCGCGGCTACTTGTGGATTCGCTAACAGAATTGTACAGAATTGCTGGATCGAGTTATGTTGTCTGCGGTGCAGAAGGCCAATCATGTTCCACAAGGTCAAGTTCACGATAGTATCAGTTCTCTGTGTCTCTCTCTCTCTCTCTCTCTTTCCCTTTCAAGATTCCCACACCCTTCTCATCAACCAAGCTTGCACTGCACAAGTCCGCACATAGGAACACCTCAATGTGTGAGAGACTTGTCGTCTCGAGACTGGTGACATGTGGTTTAAACAATTTCGGTGCAACCCTGACGTTGCTCCGCGCCTGAATCGTGGAACGGTTGCAAATTGTTGAAGTTCACCAAAAGTGGAATGTCGAAATGCATATCATCATCATCAACATCATCATCATTAACAACAACATCATGACAATCATAATCATGTACATTAATAATAATAATCATCATCAAAATCATCACCATCACCATCAGATAGTCATGATCATAAACATGTACATTCATCGTCGTCATCATCATAATCACCATCATGAAGATAAAATTGATGCTATTACCCCAATCAACATGTTGTTCAGAGGGTGTGGCGAATGTTGATCCCTCATGAAGATAAAGTTAATGTTTTTCACCCCAAGCAACATGTTGTTCAGAGGGTGTGGCGAATGTTGATGCCTCATGAAGATAAAGTTGATGTTTTTCACCCCAAGCAACATATTGTTCATAGGGGTGGCGAATTTTGAACCCTCATGGAGATATAGTTGATGTTTTTACCCCATTCAACATATTGTTCAGAGGGTGTGGCGAATTTTGATCCCTCATGAAGATATAGTTGATATTTTTCACCCCAAGCAACATATTGTTCATAGGGGATGGCGATTTTTGACCCCTCATGAAGATAAAGTTGATGTTTTTACCCCAACCAACATATTGTTCCCAGGGTGTGGCGAATTTTGATCCCTCATGAAGATAAAGTTGATGTTTTTCACCCCAAGCAACATATTGTTCAGAGGGGGTGGCGAATGTTGATCCCTGATGAAGATATTAAAGTTGATGTGTTTCACCCCAAGCAACATATTGTTCATAGGGTTGGCGAATTTGATCCCTCATGAAGATTTAGTTGATGCTATTACCCCAACCAAAATATTGTTCATAGGGGTGCGAATTTTGATCCCTCATGGAGATATACTTGATGTTATTACCCCAATGAAAATATTGTTCAGAGGGGGTGGTGAATTGTGATCCCTCATGGAGATAAAGTTGATGTTTTTCACACCAAGCAACATATTGTTCATTGGGGTGGCGAAATTCGATCCCTCATGGAGATCTAGTTGATGTTATTGCCCCATTCAACATATTGTTCATAGGGGTGGCGAATTTTGATCCCTCATGGAGATATGGTTGATGTTATTGCCCCATTCAACATATTGTTCAGAGGGGGGTGGTGAATTTTAATGTGATGATGATCATGATGTGATGATGGTGATGATGATGATGATGATCATGATATATCATGATCATGATCATGATCATGATGATTGTAAGTGTGGAGCAATGTCCGGGTTGGGCGGAACAAATTTAAACCTTCCCCAATGTTCTTCATGTGCGTATCGTCTGTGCACTCAGCTCATCATGAGTGCATGGATTCATCTGTAGGTTGAAGTGCACAACAGCTGACTTTAGACTAACGCATATCTAAAATTATATTTAATGTATGTAATTTAATGTAATCTAATGTATTGTAATGTATATAATGTTATGTTATGTTATGCCATGCAATGTAATGTATGTATGCATCCGAAGTGAGAGGGCCAAGAAAGTAGGTTGAAGGTCCTGTGCACAACAGCTGACACTTTAGTGTTTGACTTTGCTTGACTATGTTTGGCTATTTGGATCTGAAGACAGAATGTCTGAAAACAATGCCGAGTGAGTCTCCCCACAGGTCACTCCAGTCTTGCTGCCTCCGCAAATGAGCTCTGTAATTGCGCCCGTGGCGTCTCTTTGCATGTTGTAAAGGTAAAGGTGATATGAACTCACAAACGCTTTCTGCAAGGGAAAGAGCTGCTAGTAGTCAGTAAGCGGATTACTTGAAGAAGCAAGAATGGCAAAACGCATGTGCTTTTTCCGAACAAGAAAAATGTGGATGTCTTAGAGCATAAACACATGCTCCTGGCAAGACTGATCTGATATTCAACACCAGAAATGTAACACAACATTGTTGATTATCAAACGCCTCCAAATTGATCAGTATTGCATTGCTTCGACAATAGGCTTCAGATAGAAAAAGACTCACAGTTCTCACGTGATCTCTGCTACTTTGCCGATCTTTCCCGCCTCTGGCTGTCTGCCATGGCACAGCTCGAAGCATTGCACAGCTGCCATGCCTCCCGTGTATCAGCGTGGCAAGCACCGCTGTTTGGGCACTGTAAACAAGAAACACTATCACGAAAAGTCACGTAATATAAATATATAAGATGTTTTTGGAATCTTGCACTGTCTGCGCTCACGCAAATATTTGCTCCACATTTGGTTGCCATGAGCAGTTTCTCCTGTCGTTCCAACTACAATGTTGCTGCCATCGCCTCCAAGGTTTTTGACAGCATGCTCAAGGGTCTTAGCCAGAATGAGAGTTTGTATACTCGCACTGAAACTAATTATATAAGACTGAAAACATCTGAAAACTATCCAGAAGACTTTCTCTGAGATCCGAGCAAGTAGGTCTGGGTGAACTTTGTCACTTCCATCGCCACCTCCACCCAGAACAGGGACTACTGTACTGCGTTACAGAACACTACCGTAGCTGGACGAACTATTCAAACCCATTTAGACATCCCGAACCCCCATCCCCCCAGAGTTCAATGTTATTGGCGTTCACACAGCATGGCAACAAATGGACGAAAACAAATCAGATCCCTGAGGACTGACCTGGAGACAGAAAACAATAACTTTGAAATTCAGGGGGCTCGGGGGAGCTTGTAAATTATCCACCTGGGGTTTGATTAATTTGTCCATCTACTGTAGGACAGTTTTGGCTCCGAAAAGCCTCAGAAAAGGTTTTATGTAATTCAGACTTGGCAACTACGACATGTGTCACTTTGATGCTATTGAGTAGGCAAGATCAAAAAACTATACAGAAGTATATAAGGGACTTCACAGGTGTGCAAAAAAACACATATGTAAAGATAATATAAGATCGATTAATAAAGCATATATGCGAACATTACCAGTAGTACCGCGCAAGGCGGCGGCGGAAGTTTCAAAAATTGGAAACCTATAGGACAGGTTGGTTGTTGTGAATCACGGATAGCAGAGCGAAGCACTGATGGATCAAAAGGTGATTGATGTCTCCTCTCTTTCTCTCTCTTTCTGTCTATTTCCCTGACTATCTACCTACCTACCTACCTGCCTGCCTGCCTGCCTACCTACCTACCTACCGATCTATCGATCGATCTATCTATCTATCTATCTCTCTCTCTCTCTCTCATCTATCTATCTATCTATCTAATCTAATCTAATCTAATCTAATCTAATCTATCTATCTACCTATCTGTCTATCTACCTATCTACCCATCTATCTATCTATCTATCTATCTAATCTAATCGAATCTAATCGAACCTAATCTAATCTAACCTATCTATCTATCTATCTAATTGTCTATCTATCTATCTGTCTGTCTGTCTGTCTGTCTGTCTATCTATCTCTCTCTCTCTCTCTCTGTCTATCTACCTGTCTATCTGCAAGCTTGAAAACCAAGATATTCTGCTATTCTGCGAGCCTTCTTCATTTTTCAAAGCTGACAACATCGAAAACGAAGCAAGTCTGCGAGACTTCCTCAATGTTTGAACTTGACAACGTCAAAAACGAAGCAATTCTTCGCGACTTCTTCATGTTTCAAAGTTGACAACATCAAAAACGAAGCAATTTCCGAGACTTCCTCAATGTTTGAACTTGACAACGTCAAAAACGAAGCAAGTCTGCGAGACTTCTTCATTTTTTGAACTGAACAACATCCAAAACGAAGTAATTCTGCGAGACTTCTTGAATTTTTGAATTTGACAACATCAAAAACGAAGCAAGTCTGCGAGACTTCTTCATTTTTTGAACTGAACAACATCCAAAACGAAGTAATTCTGCAAGACTTCTTGAATTTTTGACAACATCAAAAACGAAGCAATTCTGCGAGACATCCTTCAAACATCGAAGGTTGAGTGCAGCGCTGACGGCCTCGTACCAATGCGTTTTGCGATTTTTCCACTCCAACCTGTCTAAAGTACTGCGCCCGCCACGAAAAATTGAGGACAGGTTATACGAAGTGCTGCACCTGTCACGCAAAATCATCTTACCAAACCTACAGATCTGATGCTCCAAAATGCAACCCCTCTCAGGAAATCAGAGCCCTGACCTCCTAACATCTCTGATGAACATGTCTTTTGTACTGCGCCTGCCACGCAAAATGCATCTTTTCAAATCCTCTTCACATGCCCGACGCCTGCCATGGTTTTTGGAAATGCGACAAAACCCGCAGGTTTTGCTCACTTTTGCCAAGGTGCACAATCCCTTGCGCCTGCCACGCGAAACAACATCTGAACGTCCAGAAGTGCTCCGTACCCCTTAGTTTTTTGCACTTTTGACTTCGAAATGTGCTTCGCGCCACAACGGCGTGCACTTGTTCGACATCTCAACTTCCAAAAGTGGTCCGAACCCCTGGTGTTTTTTTAACACTTTTGACTTGGAAATGTGCTTCGCGCCACGACGGCGTGCACTTTTTCGACATCGGAACTTCCAAAAGTGGTCCGAACCTGGTGTGTTTTGTACATTTTGACTTCGAAATGTGCTTCGCGCCACAATGGCGTGCACTTTTTGGACATCTCAACTTCCAAAAGTGGTCCGAACATGGTGTGTTTTGTACATTTTGACTTCGAAATGTGCTTCGCGCCACAATGGCGTGCAATTTTTCATCTCTCATCTGGCCAGCCGGCTCCGCACCCGCCGCTTTAGCGAGCCTACTTTTCGACCCTCCGGAGCCACGAATCATTGGAAAAACACAGTGTTTCGCGACTTTCCTACCTTTTCGCGCATCTGCCTCTTCTTTCTTCTAACTCTTTCTCTTCTCTGATCTTCTCTCTTCTACTCTTCTCTTCTCTCTGACTCTTCCCATCTCTGCTTTTCATCTGTCCATATTGTCGGAAGTTTGACTTCTAAACTTCCTCCGACGATAACATAATATGATAACTATACATACATACATACATCTTGTAACATAGCTTGACAGCCCGTCGTTGACAGGATATGACCGGATTCCGCCTCAAGTCGTCTTAGCCAAGATGTGGCCATTGGCCCATCAGCCAAGTGCAAATGCACTGCCTACGGGAAGCACAAATTTTCGCATCACACATGATGTTGTTCACTTAGCTTTCAATGCCTGCAAGAACGAGAACAATCATAAAACATGATTTGTTCAAAGCATGAAATCGAAACAGCTTTGGGGTGTGCATGCATCAGTCTATTTGCCTTTATTCTGCATGGTTTGCTTCCACGTTCAACTTCCAGGCACTCATTTTTTCCAGGAACTCCAAATGACTATTTTGGCAGGCATATGCCGCCAATGTTTTCAAGACCAAAATCAGATAAAATCAGCAAGGTCTAGTGTTTTTTCATCTACATGGCTGCATGGCTATCTACACAGTGCACCATGGTCACGTGGCATCACTTTGCTTGACTCTGCCATCATCCTTATTTCAAGCCTTGACTCAAAGATGATCTTAAGATATCTTAAGCAAGTCCCAAAAGCAAGTTCAGCAAAGTACCGATCAAACATGTGCAGCATCGCTGTGGTGCAGGTTTCCGTTCAGTGGCTCCACCTCCGCACATGGCACCTCTTGTCGTCCGCCCACAATGATCTGAATCGAAAGGCACGGCGCCGCCACCTGTTGCAGAGGCCAGAGCTCTGTGCTGCATGGCTCCTCAGTCCCCTTCAAACTCACATCGTCAATCATCTACACAGAATCACTTACTGTAGGAAGTCCGGACCTTGGGTTTAGCTTGGATCATGCTGGCTTGAACTACAGTGGAGCATGACAGCGTAGCAAATCAAGAACTACCTTACACAGAGGCTGAACTGGGCCAGGCTTGTCATTTGAATCCTTTTTCCAGGAAAACCGGCCCTGTCCTCATTTTCGTCTGCAAGGTCTACAGAAGTGATGGATGACACACTCAACCTGTTGCGATCGCTGGGAACCCAACCACTTTGGCCTAAAATATGTTTTGTCAGAAACCTACTCAATGTAGTGCTTGTGTATGAATGCCAGCATGGACATGGATAGAGAATGTAATCCACTGCAGCGCACTTTAATCTTTAATACAGTGCAAGCACTGTGTCGTGCTGGCTGTATCGTCTTCTGTTGTCGTCGGTTGGCTTCGCGTGTCTTCACTTGTCTTCTCTTGTGTTGCACTGTGTTGTCTTATGAAATGTACCAAGTGCCAAGTGCTTATATGAATATGGGATATAATATGGGCTGATGTGCGTGGGTGGAAGCATTTATAGCACATTACTGTACATATTTGCAATATTCAATATATCGGAGTAGCTTGGTACAAACAGCCCATGCCTTTAGAAGTCAGGACACTGGTTTCACAACGACACTGCTCTTTGTGCAGCTGAAGTGGATTCTCCAAGAAATAGGAGTGCTCGACCCTTTTGATCTACAAAGAGTGTGTGCCAACGGAAGCGGGACTCATTTCTGTTTGTTTGCTGTAGACAGAACACTCCTCCATGATTCCAGCGCTACTTCTACCTCGACTAATATGAATGAATGAAAGCATCATATAATTATATGTAACATCTATATATATATAACTATATATATAATATATATGGGTTTTGACATTTCCGGTGTCCTCTTCTCTTTGTTGCCGTAGCCAGGTTTATGCATGTAAGCCGAGCCTTCCCTCTGCCGAAAATTACGGGAGGATGGTTCTAGACCCTCTTTCCTGTAAACTTAAACAGGCTTTAAAAAAACCTTCCAAGCTACGTGTGGTGTTGCAAAACTGCTATGGAAGATAGCAAGAACTGACCCATGAACAAGATGATATCAAGATGACATGGTCCATTGGTGTCTCTTTCTGTCGATAAGATCAAGAGTCAATCTTGGCGTTTGGGGTCAAACAGGGCCACTGTAGTTTGCGGGCCGCATTGTCTGGGCGTTCCGGCGAGTACGTCACTTTGAACGGCTTGTTGAGGTCCAGAAAAAGAAGAAAGCCTTGAACCTGTTACCAAAGTTGCGAGACTGTGTTCCAAGTCTATACCTATTAATCTTTAGTCGAACCAGTCAAGAGTCTAAGGAATATGAGTTCTCACTATCGGCATCAATGGCAGTGTACCCAGTTTAACTACTGCATACTGCATGTTGCGAGTACTGCGCTGTAGGCACACTCGTCAGATCATTCACTCAAAATGAGTCAAAATGGCAATGTCAGCAAGATCTGACAGTCCCACCAGGAGCATGTTCTCCGTTTGCCAGCGGGCCAGCATGCCAGCGGGCCTGCAAGTGAAGGCAAGCGCATCACTGACCAGTGCTTCTCTTGCTTCATTGTCCCATGTGCCAAGTGATGGGATTTTGTCATAGTGTAATTGTTTGGTCCATCAGTCCTTTTGCTTCGGGTACACCACCCTCACCACAACATCACGCACTCTCCTCTGTAATTCTACATTGCCCCGGTGGACACAACATGCTTGTCCGAGGCCACTTCGTTTCAACATCTTCATTCACACTTGCATGCAGTTGCTAAATGTGCTTGTCTTAAGCGTCCAGCCAAGCAATCCAGCCTCACGTGGAAAGAATCTGACACACATGAATCCCAGGAAACGAATAGATCCTTCGCGCATTGTACAAAATTGATTTTCAGATATTTCCAGTACTTTTTCTCAAAAACTAGAGGGCAAGACTGATATTACGACGGGAAATTAGTTCACTCATGGCCAAATCAATCCAAGTCATTTGGTGAATTCGGGATGCACTCGGCGTCCAAACGTGCCACTTCTCCTTGGGCAGGAAGCATTGAAAGCTGTGCCTCAAAGCTCAATGGTCCCTGCGAACTGTGAAGGCTAAGTCATGCCCTTGGAAGCTACCAGTACTGGCTCATTCGCACCTTCACCCTACACATCCCATCACATCCCTACACTTTGACACCTCTGCATCATACAGTTGCAACCTTTACTGATTCGGTCTGTCCTGTCAAGATGTATTAAGATGTGTTAAGTAAGTTACGAGTACAGTAGTAATTCAGGTTAATTCAGTATACATGTATGTGTATATATATATGTATGTATGTATATATATGTATACATATATATATATATATATCGTACACATCTATATATATATATATCGTACATATACATATATGTATACGTATATGTATATATATGCTGCGATGCCGCGCTTGACTTTCCAGCATCGAGCAGCCAACACATTTCTGTTCACCCGGGCCTGGGCCTTTGAAACCCTCAGTGTCACAGTGCCTGGAAAGGGAGGTCAAAGTGAGGTCAGTCAGACATTTGTGCCATGGGTTGGCACAGTGACAAGGGGTCAGCCTAGGACTCAGTGCTTAAAGCCGCTTAAATGAAGAGAAAGGGATGAAGGGAAGAGCTTGGTGGTAGCAATGCATGCTGCACAATTGCACACCACTAATCAAAGGATGTGACAGCGCGCAACCGAGTGACCGAGTGCAACTATTGCAAATCTGTTTGCACATTATTGAACCTGCAACGTAACGGCCTGGGCACAATGAACACCCGGCTACATTGTCAATCTCGAAGTAACTAGTTAACTAGTTGATCCATATTAGATAATCGCTTCCCCCAATGTTAGATACCCATAGACACTCCCTGATGCCCTAATGAACAAAACCAATACTTAACCATGGTTTCTGCGGGGGTATTCAATGTTGGGGAGAAGTGATTTCCGACTGACAGTTCTTTCCAAATCACCTACTGGTGAGGAAAATCACTTGGCCGTAAGGTCCTGATTTGTTTCGTTTTTATTGTACATGTATATACATGTATACAACTTCTTTCAACTACTCAAGATGTGCTTTCGATTGCATACAAGTTAGGCTTCTACTTTTGGTCACTCACGGCTTGTGAGCCCATCAAGCAAGTGTTTGAAAGTTGAAGTTGAAGCGTTGAAACACACAGCTGCAACGATGGAAAGGTATCAAAGAAGGACTTGATCAAATGATGCTTCACGGTTTGTCCTTTTCTACTTGCTGAATGGTACCCCAAATCCAATTCCAATGCATAAACGGCTGACATGATATCGTCACTTGCTGTCGGCTTACTACCACCAAGCATTGGTGCATTCAGTCGAGTCTACTTTGGCAGGCCAGGCCTTCTCCGGTTTTGTCTCCCATCCTGCAGCCCAGAGCAACATCTCCATGATGTTTATAGAATATGCATATAATATATTTATAATTATATATATATATCATTGTTATTATTGTGATAATTACAAATATGTATCATGACTCTGATGATTATGATAAGTCTTACTGATAAGTACTATATACTGTATAATTATGATAATTGCGATGATCGTGATAATAGTAACGGTAACAAACATAACAACACACGCACATATAATAATACTGATAACAATAATAAATTAAAAACACTAATGATGATCATGCTACGCGTATATATCCAAAAAGTACGGGCATGTTGCATAATATACATATACATGTATATATATATGTGTGTGTGTACACATGTATGTAACTGTATGTACATCTATAGTCTATAAGGTTTGTACATATATAATATAATATATACATACATACACATTTTTTCCGCGAGCACAATGGGCTCACAACAATTCCTGTACATACTAATTAGTTGACATAGCCGGATGGATTCTATAGACGAAAACACTTCTAAACTTGGACATTTGGAGTGGCACTGCTGAAAACAGATAGGATCAAACAATATCAAACAGGTATGCATACCTGGGCGTGTACCATGTATGTGTTGCTCTTTCAAAGCCCGTGTGAAACTGTCTCAATCACATTGTGCAGTAGCATGGAATTGCCGGAAGTATGCCACTCCAGCAATTGTTCAAGAGTACTTTAAAAGACTGAAGCATCACCATGGCATAAAGACTGCAACCCCTGTCGATGCAGCCCCATCCCTGAGGTTAGTGCTGGCATGAAAGAAGGTGCACAGCAGTTGGGAATCATGCTGCAATGCGGGAGTCAAATATGAAAGCAGTCCTACCTATCCCATGTGTAGCTGTGGCAAGAACAAATGGAGCAAGCGGAAGTCTCTTTTTGTGGATTTTGCACACAAACTCAGACAAGTTCAGGGTTTCTTCCATTGTAGTTGCCTGGATGTCATGCAAAGCTTGAGAACATCTCGTGTGTCTTGTGTGTCTTGTGTCTGAAGACTGTCCAACATTGCAGTAACTGCTGACGAGTCGTGTTGATTTGATGATGACAAAACCATTTCTTGGACCTTGCGTTGCATGGAAGTCTTGAGCTAAAACTGCTCAGTTCACACTCTGGGAATAGGATGCAGTATTCCCGCGAATTGCCGCTTTACAAGCAAACCTTGCTAGGAAGTGCTCCAGCGCATCCTTGCACACAAAGCCTCCCACCCTTTTGCTCAACGGCCCCGACACCAGCTGCTATTCGACAGAGCCGATTTTGGATGCCAGGATGTTCTTTGAACCTGCAAGAGAGTCAAAGACAGATTTCATCCATTGACATCCTTCAGAATGCCACTGGATGATAGTGCTCTTGCCCTCAGATAGAGGATGATAGTGGTGGTCCGACGTTTCATCTTTAAAGAATGTATCGAATGGCAGCGCTTGAAGGGGTTCAAGCTTGCAATATATATATATATAAATATGGAACAAGAGGTAGCTCATGGTACAATGCTCTCTGTATACCCTGTCCACTATTCTTGGTACGCAAGCAAGACATGTGGTGAAGCAACATGTCTGGTTTTGTCTGGTGTGTTGCACAAATCAGGCAGCTATTGGCCTTGCAAGTTGTGACTCTGCGAAATCGGCGTCTGCCTGAATGATTCATGGGGTCTGCCATCGTGTCGGACCTCGCTAGAACCACAGCACCCCGTTTGAATTTGTATAACAGTTTCAAACATGATTGCAGAATTCCGGGGCGGACTGTAGACTATAGTAACATATACTGTAGTGACTGCAATTATTTGAATGGCATTGATGTCATGGAAATTCATTTGATTTGCCTTCTATCAAACCCCTTCACACCTCCCCACATACTCTTTGCTGTCGCCTCAGCCACAGCAGGGTCCTCGGAGTCCGCTGCCATTTGTGACCTGCTGGTTTCAACCAAGATTTTAAGACCACGTACGGCTTAAGCTGCTCGGTGGTAACAGCTCTAGGCTGCAGATTGATCAACAAAGCAGCCTCAAACCAGCAACTGTTACGTCTATTTTCAATTGCTTTCTGATGTTTTCTGCCTCCACAAGTCAACTACTGTGACAACACAACTCTGCCAGCACTTTGGACCAAGGTACTACGTGAAGGGAAATCCAGCATTTCACTGCAGCTCACAGAGGAAACTGCAAGAGCACAGTGCCTGTGACCGGGCTTACTCTGCATCTGCACATCAGGCTCAGACAGAAACCACAGAAATAGCTCTCGGGCTTCGGGATCAGCCAACAGCCCTTGCACCTGCCCGGTGATTCATCTTAACGGTCACAAAATCATACAGGATCAATAAGTGTTCTCAAGATTTCTTAAGAAACGATATCACTCAAAAGCAGTACAAATTCCGACTCCGGTGAAGAACACCACGCAGGTATAGCATGAGCGGTGACTGCCTTTATACATCAGGGCAAGAAGATTTACTTTCGAATATGCCAGGTATTAATAGGTATTACAAGATATTACAAGTAGATATGCAAAGGGCTGGCCTGGAATCGATCCGTCAGAGAGTCATGTCGTATGATGCTGCAGTCCATTGCATCAGTTGGTACAGTACACACCTAGTAATAATACAATACCGCGCCTTGCGCATCTTTTTACAAACGTTTGTGCATATGTGTACTACGATGTACTATATACATATATTATCAATCTCAATGATATCTATATATATATGTAAATATATATATACATATACATATACGGCATATGCCTGGGCTTTGCCCGGAACCGCAACCACGACAGGCAACGCATCAGCATCAGCATCAGCATCAGCATCATCATCATCATCATCATCAAACCCTTGTTGAAGATCTTCAAAATGAAGATAGAAGTTTAACGGGGAATTAAACCCTTATTGAAAATCTTCAATGAATGTAGAAGTTTAACGGGGGTGGGAGAAGTAAACCCGTGTTGAAGATCTTCAAAATGAAGATAGAAGTTTAACAGGGGTGGGAGAATTAAACCCTTGTTGAAGATCTTCAGTGAATTTAGAAGTTTAACAGGGGTGGGAGAATAAAACCCTTATTGAAGATCTCCAATGACTGTAAAGTTTAACGGGGGTGGGAGAACTAAACCCTTGTTGAAGATCTTCAATGAATGTAGAAGTTTAACAGGGGTGGGAGAATTAAACCCTTATTGAAGATTTCCAATGAATGTAGAAGTTTGACGGGTGTGGGAGAACTAAACCCTTTGTGAAGATCTTCAATGAATGTAGAAGTTTAACGGGGGTGGGAGAAATAAATAAACCCTTATGGAAGATCTTCATTGAATGTAAAGTTCAACGGGGGTGGGACTTTTATATTCCCTAATACCTTTATTGATCTTCTCAATTGAATGTAAAGTTTAGCGGGGGTGGGGGGATTAATATTCCCTAGTACCTTTGTTGATCTTCCCAATTGAATGTAAAGTTTAACGGGGTGGGAGTTTTATATTCCCTAGTACCTTTGTTGTTTTCCCATAGGAATTTAAGGTTCAACGGGGGTGGAAGTTTAATATTCCCTAGTACCTTTGTTGTTTTTCCCATAGGAATTTTGTGAAGTTGCATCAACATTTGTTTGGGAATGGGAAACCTCTACGCTGCAACGCCTGGGCAAAGCCCAGGGGTTTTGCGTATGTATATATATATGTATATATACATATCCGTCTATATCCATCTTTATCCATCTATATCCATCTCCAGCGCCCATTCAAGATATTCAAGGAAAAAAACAAATTGGTGGAATGCAGGGCACCGTGTCAAAGGTCTCGAGCCGAGCCAAGTCGTCATCGCAGCGTCGGGCCTCTTCTGAGTAAAGTTTGCACAGTTAAAAAGGTGACAACGTACAGTATGATAAGTATCAATTATGGCAGATCGTTGCTTATGGTTGGTTATTGTTGGTGAATGTGGGTGATCACCAAGCGACAAAGCAGCGTCTGTAGGACGTATAGAAACTTACATCTTTGATGTTTCCAGCAAGTGGAATCTGGATGAATCTCGAAGTTCCGTGAAGTTCCGTCATTCATCCTTGAGAATGAAATCCTGGGAATTCCATGGAATTCCTGGGATTGCAAATGTCACTGGTGTGTGCTTCCCTGCCTCGAGATCACCGATTGCATTTTGGGCTTTGAAAAATAATTCAGCCTCCGTCAGCGCCTGGCGCAGTTTTGAAATCCCGACTGTCACGTGAAGCTTCAGGATCTTCAGGACGGAAATTACGGAGAAGGGGAATAGATGGAAAAAGGATGGAAAAGGCAAAAATGGTGAACTCACGTGAAGGCTACCAAATGCTACCAATATCTTCACGTCCGAGAGGGACACTGACACAACACATGTTTGCCCCTTGGCCTAGCTTTCCTATTTGATTCATGTTGATTCCCTGGCTTGTGGGACGATCTTGATCAAGTCTCAGAAGAGAAGGCTGAGCGCTTCAGAGGTCATCTGGTTTTATTTGGATCAATCTGTGCGTTATGCTGCAACTCAAAGTACCAGTAAAATCCAGTGAAAATTAGATGAGGATAGTCGAATCGTTATATCCTGCGATACATCACCAGGATTTTCTGCCTGCAACTGGGTGGTCAAGACCTTTAGCCAACCTGACAGGTTGGTCTTGCTGATCCCCGATCGTCATTGAAGAAGCATAGAACGTATTTGAGCAATGTAGAGCTTTTAGATCTATGCATCTATCTATCCATCTATCTATCCATCCCTCCCCTCCATCCCTTCATTCATCTATCCATCGATCTATTCAATTAAGTCTGCTCTGATTGCGGTAATTGGGTGCAAAACACCGAACAGTGAACAAATCGGATTCGACCAGCGTCGTAGAATGCACACTCGCAACATGAACTGTTTTGACTTTTGACTTCACTGTCCCTTCACCCACAAATGTGACAAACTTGCTGCTTGAAAAATGGTGGAGCAGTTGCGTACTGCAAACAAGCCGCTATTTCGATGCTTGGTGCTCCTGGTGCAGTTTTTTCTTTGAGACTACGAGCGCCATCAGTGCCAGTGCAAGAAGTGTGCACAAACCCATCAAACCCACAAATATGCCTTACAGATCCTTACAGTAGGAAGATGCATGAAGATGCAAGGTTTTTGTACCTAGCGACATGACACTGAGTAGGCTCTCATCCTTCTTTCCCATAGCAATTCGACAAACAGGACAGATTATGAGCATGGGAAATCAATCAAAGGGCTCTATACGGTGAAGCACTGCTACAGTAGCGCCCCAAGCAAATTGACTAGCCATTGGCTTTAGCTTCATCTTCAAAACAACAAGACTCAACTTTAAAAAACTTTGAACGCATTTGTGAGATCTTGTGAGTTCCAAAACTATCTCTGTAACTGTCTGGTCAAGAATGCGCCGACAAGCCAGCTCCTTGCACGCCTCAATATCAATTGCAGCGCTGCAGGTGCTCTGGATGCATCTGATGTTCATGTCCATACCTACGATATCCGTCGATTCTAGTCTTTAGCTTAGAATGCAAAATCGATCCAAGTTCCTTTTAGGATGCTTCACACTAGCCAGTGCATCTCAATGCACTTCAACACAAGCTTATTCAACCTTCAGGCCTTTTCTGACCAGGGCGGTTGCCACTTAGCTAGGGAGGGTACCAGGTGCTTTCTCCGTCACTGCTGCGTATTCGCAAAGTGCAGTTCGCCTCCAGAAAGAATCAGAAAGCTGGAAGGCTGCCGCGCAAATACCAAACGAAGGAAAGGAAATGACCCTTTGAGACGCAAGAATCTGCAGAAAGCCTGGTGAAGCAATTAAGTCAAACAAAAGTCAACAATTCAAACATCTTAGTCGGCAGGCAAATGGGGCTAATACCGTTTTGGGAGAAAGGATGGCCTGAGGCCTCGGACAACTTTTGAGCGGATGTGAACAGTATTGAAAAATTATGAAATAAGGTAAAGAGCGAGTGCAGAAAGTCAGTGAAACTGCGAATCTGTGTGAGATGCATCCTCTTTCATCCTCTTATCTATTGTCTATTGGGTCATATTTGATCGCATTCGATCGCATTCGCCTCATCCTCCACCGCTTCGACTTTTTTAAAGCAGCGTAGGGGCAGCTTCACCATGCCAGCACCCCGAACCGCCTGGAGCGGAATACGTTCCGAAGGCCACTGTGATGCTATCGTATGCCGTATGCATGTTTCTTCTGTTTCTTCAAATGAATCATTTTAAATCATTTTGAACATATCGAAATTATTTGAACACAAAAGAACACACTTGAAGAGCACACCACAAGTGTGCCGCTCTCTAATCGTTGATCCTCCTTGAGGCCAATCATGACCCAGATCTCGATCACCTTCATTGTTCAATTGTTCACTTGCCCCATAGCCTCCGGGTCTGAGTGCCAAAGGTTATCTCGATCTAGGACAACCTCAAGACGCCCGTTTGAATCGAACACAGCTGGATGATTGAAGGATAAAGTGTTTTTAAGTATATATATATATATATACAATATTATATAATATAATATGTATATATTGGAGATAAGGATGACGGGGTATGAGCTTCTATGTCTCAAGCTGTGACTTGAACCATTTTTTCAAAAGAAGAGCCCCATCCTGAATAGCACTCGGGCAATTTCAGTGTACGGTGTTTCCTTCATTGCAGCAGTGCTCTTCCAAGACAAGAACAAAAAAAACTTCGGTGGTATCCCCAACAGCCGCAGCGTTATATTTTTACAAATCTTTCTGAAGCGTGCTGCGAAGCCAAGCGCTGGAAACACCTCTGGGTATCTGTGACTTAAATGAACCTGACCTAGCTTGGCTTCTGCAAACTTCTCCGGAGCCCGTTGAGCCTGACTTGGCTTTGCAGCAAGGCTCCGGAACCTTCTCCGAAGCCTTGTTGAACCTCACCTGGCTCTGCACCAAAGCCTCCCAGACCTTCTCCGGAACCTTCTCCGGAACCCTGTTGAACCTGACCTGGCGCTTGCACCAGTGCACACCGGAGCTTAGCTTACGCTGTTGGGGAAAAAGGACCAAAAATGACCAAAGTCTTTGCACATGAACTGAGCCGATGCTGCCACACACCATCAAACACACTCAAACGCCACTTCTTCCACTTCTTTCCGAAATGCAGCTGCGACGCACTGCACATCTGCCAGCCACCTCAGACTACGGATGTCTCAGATCCAAGGATGGGGCGTCTGCCAGAGATGAGTTGCTGCGCAGGAATCATTATATTGGGAGTTTGTAAAAAACCCGAGCCCTTTCAAATGGTTTTTCCACACATTATCATTTTTTTTCCTCTTATCGTTTTTCCAAGCGCTGGCTTCACATCTTGACCAAAGGATTCACATGAGCGAGGAAAGGGAGAAGGAAAAGGAAGAGTAAAGGAAGGGAAAAGAAAGAATAGGAAAGGGAGAGGAAACTTCGCAGATGACAGGAACGAAGTGCCAAGAAATTCTTGTCAACCGTGGTACATGCTTGATGTCAACCCTGAGTAGAATTCCTGAAGTTCAAGCTCAGGTCAGGAACAAAAGATAAACAAACGAATGCAATTGGCGAGGCTTCCTGAGTGTCAGTGTCACCTGGATATGTGCTGGGATAATTGGATAATATCGGACATATATATATTATATAGGATCGGAAAAGAAAAGAAAATAAACGATCGAACATGATCGAACATTTGAAAGAGCTATATAAAAGGCTCATCCTGACACAGGACATCATGGGTGAAGGCACTCTCTGTGAGACATTCAAGTTCTCCACGCTCCAAAATGCCTTCCTGGTGTGAGGACAATCTGCATATTGCACAAAGATCCTGCAAACCTTGAAATATCTTGAAATGGCTTCCAGATGCTTCCAGCATGGTTTTGGGATATGTTGAGGACCGAGAAAAACCATCAAACATTGGCGCAATGCAATGATTGCGGGAGGCCATCTGTTGTCCTGCATTTCCTTCAAACATCTTCAAACATCAACCATCTTGTCATCTTCGTTGTTGCAAAGCTGCCTCTGACACCGAAGGTAGCGGCCAATCCACACCTCGGTTTCCCCCTTGTCACACTAGGATGATCCCTGACACTGAAACTGCTATCACTGTGTTCTCACCCTCTAAAAACCTGTAAACAAAAGTCATACAGCCAGGCAAGTCAGGGGATTAGAGACACCACTTTCCAAGTTTAATTGAAGCTTTGCCTCATTCCAAAGTAAGGTTAACATAGGTTAATGAGCGTAATCAACTTTAGATCGTCCGGTTCCTCAAGACTGCTCGTGGATTCAGAAAAGGAGAAGTCACTGCTGTTGCTAAAATTGTTCCCGCTGGCTTTGTCCCGCAGACTCAGCTTGCAACTCTCATCCATAATGGGAGCTTTGCCCTTTCCTCAGCGGGGCGAATCATGTTCATTGAACCATGGGACTGCATTTAGGCTAAAGGCATATAATTTGCCTGTTCAAGACCTGGATAATCTTCAGGATCAAAGAATCGAAAAGACTGGCAAACAGTCCCCGCTTTGAAAGATACATGCAAATTTGCGTACCGGCACAGGTTGCTTGCAACGACCCCCATGCAAGAATGAACAACAACACTGTCAAGCATATTCGACCTATCCAAGCAAGCGGGAGCTTCCCCATGTGACACTTGCAGGCCTGAGTTTTGCATTTGCCGGAAGAGGAATTTGTAAGCTGTGCATCCAGCTTTCTCCTCTCTGTGCAGCAGTCGATGCGCAAAATGCCACGCAACAAATGCACTTCTCATCACGTCTCCAGGTGTGAAGTCATTGCAGTTGACTTGGCTATGCAAAAATGACATACATTTGGCTGTCTACTGTTCCATATGTCTTCGTGTAAGGGCAATCGAATGTGCGTAGCATACAGTAGCATACAGGCATAGATGAGTTTGGTGACGCATAATTCTCATGATGTCAATTTGTCTCAGCAGTCAGAACTCCTGGATACGCAATGGTCGGTCTTCCAAAAGCAGCTTTCGCTCGCGCAAGGGGCCAACAGGTGCGATGATGAGCAACTCATACCTTTCAGTGCTGATAGGCAGTTCAGGCCCGGGCAGGCGAATTCGACTTGGAAATCTAAGGGCAAAAAATATGTTTAGAACTTCAGCTCTAACTCGCCGCACGTAGTGGGATCGGCGCCAATTTTGTGGCACAGGCGTTCGATAACCTCCTGCAACAGCCGGCTGAGATCAGAGTATTGAAGATTTTCTGTCTACACTGAAGAAAATGTATGAAAAAGATTGTCAAACGAAATCATCGTGCCCGGTCCTCATCTTTGGAATACCCATGATAATCATGATACACAGCATTTTCTTAGTCTATGAAACAAGGTGTCGATATGTGCCGATGCAATGACCCTGAATCAACAGTGAAAGAGGTGTCCTGTACTGAAGAGTCTTGTGTCAAATGCAGGGTTTTGTACCTTTGTTGTCAACTCGCACTGCAACTTCAAATCCTGCATGTCGCACCAAGCGACAACCCACACACCTTGTTGCATCTTTTCAGAAGATTAAACAAATTTTGTCAGGTCAAGGGAGCTTTAAACAACTTCGTAAATCTAATATGTAAATCTCATAGCTGTGAGAAGGAAGTCACTATGAGTCTAATAGCGCCTCGGCGCCCAACCAAATCAACCAACTCTCAACTCAGGAATCATGGACTTAGTCAGCTGATGTCAGCTGTGAGGTTGGTGCGACAGACTGCTTCAAGTTGCGTATGATCGTGGAAATAGACGCGCAGCATTCCAGCTGGCTTGACACTTTGCTCGGACATCTCGGCCACCCATCAAAGGCAATCAAGAGATACCAAGAGCTCAGAACATCGGACGATCTCTGAAGATCTCTGAAGTACTTCTGGGATTCTTTTGAACTGATTCAGATTGATTCAGATTGATTCAGTCTGATTCACCTATGCCGCATCTGCTATTGTGTGCCTCGGAAAGAGATCATTCATGATCATTCGACTTAGTCTGTGTGTGTGCCAGGTGTGCCAGGTGCAGATGCGGAGTCATCTTCTTCCGTCAGCTCGCTTTGAACCGGCAAGAAACGCCACGGGGGTGCTTCAACATCTCGCGCTAGCCAGATCCCAACACGAAGTTCCATGATGTTCCATACACCATCTGTGCAAATGGTTTGTCGAGACTTAATATTGGATCATATGTGATCTGAGCAGGGACTTCATGCGCGTTCTTTTGAGTCTGCGATGCAGCTGCAGATCATTGACACAGAACGCCTGGCCAGGGAGGCAGAAAATATGAGGAAATTTGCCAAATAGTGTACATAAAACACATGAGAATACATTGTTGATTAATAGTTTTCCCGAAACGCATTGATTGAGAACGGAAGGGGTTTTCTCTGTACCAGTTTCTTGTGCACAAAAGCCTCTCTTTACCTCATATCTGAGGTAACACCCATAATGGTGTGTCCGCATTGGATTCAAGCACTTGAACCTGTGAAAAGCAAACAGATTTTCGTTCCTAGTCTTCCAGGGACCTGGTCCGTACTGGGGTCCAAATATAACGCGATGCAAAGCGTGAATTGTAGAAAGGAGTGACAGAAGTTTGAAGTCCAAGATTAAAAGTCGTCCGCGTCAAGTGATGCAACTGCACCTTGTAAGACTTTGACATCGAAAATGCTTTCCATTAATCCCCGAAGTCTGATTTCTGGCCTGAGATCTGATGGTCGCTTTAAAGAGCTGTACCACGTTCCAGGTTTTGTCGAGTTTCCTCAGGATGGCATCGTTTCGTGATCACAGGTCGTGGACTCCCTGAAATGGTTCCCCTTGCCGTTTGCTGTCAACCGAACATTCGGAGGAAATCGATGCTAATCAAGAAGTTCGACGGAGGATCGCAATGAACCAAGGGGTGGAGATAATGTGAGCAATGCGTGTAAGTATGTTAGTATGCAATAGTATGCATGCATGTGGCATATACATATTAATGTACATATTACATATGTTGCATAGTCTGTACATATCTGTGTTTGTGCAAGGGACTGGCAGTGTAGGTGTGTATTGCCGCGCCTCGGTGTAGTCGCCAAAGAAGCGGTCCAACTTCTTGTTGAAGAAGCCTAAATTTTGCAGTGCTTGCAGTGCTTAAATCTTGCTGCTTGCAGTGCCTTTCAATCAATGAGCGCAAAGAGTCAAGCACATCCAGTATCTGTTTCAATCGATGACGCTCGTACGAGAAGGACAGCCAAAAGAGCAGTATCCAGTATCCCCGCGGAAGTCTTTACAGGCAAAGGCAAACTGTTGAAATAGAGGAAAAAGATGGAAAAACCACTCTGGTCATGAATCAAGACACTAATAGTAACACTGTGGTTTGAAACCCAGATCTTACCAAGTAAACGTGACCTCTACATAACATGGAATGTGAAAACATTCTTGATGCCTCGGCCAAAGGAGTCAATAACAACCTGCTGCCACTCTCTTGTGCAGATCCAGAAACCCAGGACTCTTTTGCACCAAAAATGACTGCTTTAGCCGAGCAACGATTCCTATCATTGACATAAGTCCTGTCCTCATCATCATTGTAGGCACGCCTGTCGTCAAAGGTTTCTGAATGGGTACTACAAGACAATCCGCTCATATCAGCTTACTAGCTACCAGAATGCGCAGCGTGGACAAACAGAGTGATGCAAACAGTTCGAGAACGAACAAACTCAATGCTACTGTCATGCTAGTGTCATGGTGCACCTTCTGGAGAAGTCCTTCTTCTTCTCCTTGGATACAACACGATACAACATGATACAACCAAAGAGCCAAAACACTCAACAAACATCAACAAACGGTCCGAATTTGCCAAGTCCCTCTGTCAGGCTCTATGCCACTCTATGCCACTCAAAGCCAAGTGGCCAAGATCTTGTCCATTGCCTCTCCAAGGCGGTCCTTTGCCTCTCCAGCCGATCAACCGAACATTTTACACAGAATCATCAGTGACAGAGTACAATCCTTCGGTATCCTTCGTTCAAGGGGCGCACAATCAGAGATAATCCTCCATTGAATCAGCTAAACCAGCTAAACTATATAGGTTGAATAAAAATAATGATGACTTCCTGCAAAGACACGCGGAATAGTTATTATTTCTGGGTAGAGTCACGATGGTTTCGTACGAGGTGCTGCTTGCGCTCTACTAAGCTTGAATGCAGCAAACTGAAGTCGTCTTTAAAAAGAATAGGTACATTATAATATATAATAATGGATTATAATGGTATATAAGGCTTTGCCCTTCTGATGTTCTTGGCCCTGCTCTGGTCATACGAGTACAATGAGCATGTTCAGAACCTTGAACCATCTACAAAAATCTACAAAAATCTACAAGTATCTGGGCTCTTGCATGTTTGGATATGCCTGGAATTGCCTGGACTTGATACAAAACGACCAAATACTGAAATCTTACAAAATCTTGAATTCAAGATCTTATGCAGCCATGCTAGAAAAAAGTGCATGTCTTCATTGTCGTGTCTTCATGTGGAATCCTCTCGAAACAAGCCTCTTCCGTCGGCTTGAAGCCAAAACCTGCAAACTTCAGACCTGCTGCGTAGATTCCACAATCCCGTACGGTCGCATAATGGTGCAATGACAATATCATATGAGTCATATCGAGTCATATCGAGTCATATCTGAAATCAAGCATTGCCGTGACCCAGCAAGAACTGACAAGAATCAAACGCTGGGACGGGCAGTGCCCAAGAGATACTAGAAGTGTCTAGAAGTGATCTGAAGAGTCCCTCTCAAGCAAGTATGGTTGCAGTACATCGGAATAAAGTGTACTCCATGGGAATGTAATAGCAACTGAAACGCGTTTGTAAACAACCCTAGGCGCTTTCTGCCTTCACCGTCCTGTTCAATCTCTTTCTTTTGTCTCTCGTAGGCCTGGTGAACAAGTCGACAACTTCATTCAACATCTCGAGAAACGTCATGATGAAAAATATGAAACAGAATCACTCAAAATCACTAAAAATGCAACATGATTCTGTTCACCTCTTGCAGTACTCCATGCAAAGAAGCCCTGCTGATCTCGGCTTATTCAGTTTGATGCACGAAATGCACGCGCGTACTTCCGAGATCTTCCAAGTAAGGAGGGATTTAGCCCACCCGTAGCTCCTGCCCGGTTGCCTTATCTTCAATCGATTCGAATCGATTCCCTTTCTACGAACTGTAAATCACTACGGCAATGTAAAGAAGGGAGCAACAATTCATCACGGCACCACAAGGAAACCCAAGGAAACCTATCTGCAATCCTTCCCGTGTTGCCTCTTGGTTGAATTGCATATGCTTCAAACGCTTCTCATGTGCACGCAGCAACGAGTCCTGGACGTGAGGGTTTGGCAAATTCTTGGAGTTGCCAAAGGTGGTGCATTTGAACTGACAGACGTATCGGCGTATCGGTCAAGAAGAGAACAAATTGTACTGGATCACCTTGCCTCTTTGCGGTCTCTCCAATATCTTACTTACGAATGTAAAACCCAAACGTTGTGCTCCTGGTTGAAGACATCCCAGCCAAATGCATCAGGATTTCCTATGCATCTGCGCTGTTTGGGAGACAAAGGTCTTGGACAATAGTACGCAAAGTATGGAGATGAAGCTAAAGGAAGTAATCTTATCCAGAGTCGTTGAGGGAAGAGATGTAATTGAATTTGACCACGCAAACTCAAATTATCCTTCAGATTGATCCCCCATGACCGTGGATGGTACTCTTGTTTCATACGCAGGTCTGCCTTTCTTCTTTTTTGCTTCACGCTGCTCGGCATACCTTGGTCATACTCCGGCTGCACTGATGCTACATAGGCTGTCTCGAAGTTCCATGTTGAAGATATCCAGAGAGTGAGAGAGAGGCCAAGTTGCACAACTCTAGTTTCTACAAGCCCAAAGTGCGGAGTTTGACATGCCGATAAAAGACCTGGGACGGGAACCTGAATCTTATTTTTATCAAGGACAGCAAAAATCGCTTTCCAATAGCCGAATATAGCCGAATATGTTGGAACAAATCTTCCTCTTTGGCCCAAAGGGCTTTGCTTTTGTTATTGAAGGCCGAGTGGCTCAATTGTGTCTGCAAGGTACTCCTTGCCATCTGGGAGGTTTGAATTCCTGTGCAAGGCAAGCTGGGATTGGGCGGGACTCTGAATCGATTGCTTGTGGGAAACTTTGCCCTGTCCATAGAATATCCGGTGCTCACTAGCGTATTCAAGTGGAGGTTTGATGAGTGAAATAAATCTTGATTTGGTCCTTTGTTTTCAGTTACAGAGCCGAGCTGTTTGTTTAGTAGCGGATCTTCACAAGTAGCTACTGATGGGTCGGTACCAGGATGTAACTATAAAGAATATATATATGTATATGTGTGTGTGTGTATGTAGGTATGTATGTATATATATATATATATTTATATATTTATACATATATGTATTATTATTACTATCATTATTATCATTATTATGTATATATGTATATTATATAATATGAAAGCCATTGTCCCAGAAAATATTGTAATCTATTGTCACCTCAAACTATTGCAAACCCACAAGCGTCCTGCTCCGTGTATCTTTCTTCTTGTCGTCCTGGGCAACATGTTGAAGCGTCAGAGTCATTATATGTTTCCCAGACCGATGTTCCAGTTTGCAAAGTTCACCAGCAAAATGGAGCGACCAAGATTACACTTCTCCTTCGTAGATGTCTAGAAGAACGCTAACCACAAACAAATGCAGTCATTTGTCCACCTTCCACATATTCCAAAAACAAATCTTCGTTGAAACTTCCTATCTGGTACTGAAGTGAGACAAGAGGCTTCTTCTTTTTTCTCTTCCTCAGCAGATCGCCTGCAGCACAGCTGATCCGCTAAATAACTGACCAGCAATCTGTGTACTTGCTTGATGAACACCAATGGGGCGGCATATTATTCTCATTTTTTATATGTTTATCTACATATTGTATCATATTGTATATTGTTGCATTTTCGAGTTTCCCATTATGATTCACTGTGAAACGGTGCTTCAGCCTGTTCTGAGGAACTGTTAGCAGCTGAAAGCATGTTGAAGCCAAACTCGTCAGTTGATATCCTCAAATGATGATTTAAACTCTAAACATGATGAGGATTTAAACGTGATTTAAATGGTTTTAAATTGCATGAAAATGCCTTGGGGCCTTGAAGCGCCGCTGAGCCATTTCCAGTTACCGGCACCTCGCAGCCATCTTCTTGCTATAGCCAGGATCTGAGTCTCTCTTCTGCTCTTCAATGACCTGTCAAACTCACAAGGAGGCTAGATCGACTAGATCGCCCTGTAATTTTTGTAAGTCCTTGATAGGTTTTATAGTCATTTAGTCATTAACATCTTTCCTATCCACGCTTCTTCAGCTTTTGACCATGAGAAAAGTGGAGTCTACAGAATGACACAGATCTGTTTTTCGGAGGTTGATCGACAGGTTGATCGACGGGCTCAGGCTTCAGTCGCTTCAGTCGCTTCAGTCCATGCAAGCCACGGCCTCTTTATTGTTCGCCACCCGGCCTCCAATGGACGGCCCCAAATTTCCACTCTGCCACTCTGCATTTATCGCCAAAAGGAATCAAAAGGATCGAAAAAAAATAAATGCTATTCGTGGAAATCACCTATCGAAGGCTTTTGGTCTTTACAGAACTTTACAGAAACAAAGGCGGCCAAACCTCCGAATTGGTTGCCTCATGCTGCCTCAACACACTGAATGCCTCACTACACATCAGTCTAGATTCTAAGCATTTGTCGTCATGAAACAACACAAGCTTCAAGCTTTAGAATTTCGTGGCCAAGAGAGTGGTCGCATCTGCAGCCCAAACAGAGGGATTGTTTCAAAATGCATCACACAATAATCACAATATCACACATATGTCGAGTCTCTGTGGGCGACATGCAGCTCCCGCCTTGATTCATCCTCAGCCTGAAGCGGAATGAACTCTTTTTGGACATTGTCTGCGGATCTCTTCAGGAGCTATCTCCCCAGTCCAAGCACTATAAACTTATACAACTATATACAACTTACTTTTATGTAGCATCTCTTAGCTGATTTTTGGTTTCTGTGGTTTCCACAATTCTGCCATTGCGACGTAAGAATTTGTGCTGTTTTGACGGGTGTCGGCTGAGTCAGGTCGGCCGAGCCGGAGAGAATGAGCGAGTCAGAAAGGATCGATTGGGTGAGTCGGAAAAAATGAATGGGTGAGTCAAGCTTCAAGGAGACATAAGGAGACTAGGTTTGTCAAGCCTCACACAGCACAACCGCACGTGTCCTGCCAGTTCGTTTTTTCGCACAGGAAAAATCCAAATGTTTCCAAGCTTTGCTTCTCATTTTCCTTTTGTGAAAGGGGACGGTCTCCAGAATCCTAATTTTGACCCTCTGCTGCCTTGTTTAGATTTGAATTCCCACGGTCTCCAGGACCATAATCTTGACCCTAATCTTGACCGTGGTAACTCCTGCCCTCGCAGTGCATTTTGTCACTCTCAGCAGCAGCTGCCAAGCCTTTTCTTTTTCTCAATTGGATGGAGTAATGATAGTATAATGTCTTACGCAGTGGATATAAATTAAACATAATTAAACTGCACAAGGGTATTATAGCAACTCAATTGGGCCGAGTCGGGAGGTGTACCTCACACAGAAGAAGTCGAGACGGGATTATAATTGGACGCTAAATTCTAATTGGACCCTAGATGGGCGGCTAGATGGGAATTTTAATTGGAATGTAGACGGATGACTTTAGGCTAGACGGGAGAAGGCTAGATGGGAAGTTTAATTGGACTCGGAATAGGAGGGACTGCGAATGGAGAAATACTATTGCACCTAGGGCTTTGGGGGTAGAAGTTTCAACAATCACTCGGAATCGTAACAAGAATGGAGAAATGCTCTTGCAGTGCACGTACAGCTTTGTGGGGGAAGCCATCCCATCGGGTTATGAATAGAAAATGTCCCTTCAACCTTAACGGCTCTGAGGCCAAGCAATGTGGCTCATAGTGGTGCAACTCATCCCTGGAAAAAATCCAGACGTTTCCAAGCTTTGCTTCTCATTTTCCTTTTGTGTCTCTTTTTGTTTGAAAGGGGACGGTCTCCAGGACGATACTTTCAATTTCGAGCGTGCTTTTGACCCTAATTTGTTTGTGTGTGTGCGTGTGTGCGTCTGTATGCGTGTGTGTCTTGGTTCGGCTGGTTTCCTTGTGCCTGATTCACCTATTCATCTCATCTGACTCAACCATTGTCGTTATATACCTGACTCTCGAGCCTGACTCACTGATGTGACTCGGCTATCTGCCAGCTGACTCCCCCAACTCTCTGTTTTGACAGCTGCCTGGGTCCTATATGGTCATCTATTACAGTACAGGAGTGACAATCGCTCAAAATTTGTCAAGCAGTCAAGCGCGCTTCTGCTGGGAAATGTCAACATGCCATGTTGCCAACAGGTGTCTCAAACACAAGGCGACTATTGCATGGCCCTGTCGAACCTTAGCTCGTAGAGTTTCTTCTCTCGCTCCGTCTTTGGCGGTGGCAGTCCAGCAGCTGAGGCGGAGACACAAATGCAACGAAAGTGGAAATAGATATTTTCAATAGATGGACATAGCCCATAGCAATAACGAGGACAATCTGAGGGAGAGGTCATCAAGAGATCCAACATTTAGCAACAGGGTAAGGTAAGACGACCAGTCGCATGGCCATGTGGCGAAATTCTTCCACTCAAAGGGCTCATGAGTTCCAATGTTTTTGGTCACCAAACAGTCATGAAACTCATCTCAGCTGGGTAAATCGCAAAAACGAGTTTACCTGTGAACCCCACAAAGTTTGGAGTAGTTTAACTCTCTAAAATCGAGAAGGAAAAAAGATATTCAACCTATGGAAGGAAAAGAGCCTACCATCAATTTGTACCCATTTTACATCAATGCATCTTCTACACTGCGAATTTTGGACTGGCTGACCATGCCATGATCCAGGGTCCCAGCTTTCACTGGGGAAAGCCTCCTGCCAGTTCAAGGAGAGTGAGCATGAAAATCTTCAATTGTCGCAATAAATGTGACTGCAATGATGTCAAAGTTTCCTTGTGGCAGCTTTCTTCCAAAAAAGATACATCAGGTTCCTGTCTGTCTCAACACCTTTTAAGGTATTTGGACTTTTTTTGGGTTTCGGGGTACACCGTCAGGCCATCAGTTGTGTAAATCACTTCCGCCTCCTCGACCTTTCGCTTCAGACTGCTACCGCTGATTTCATTGCCGGTGGCAGCACCACCTGTGCTAGTGGCTCACTGCGAAACAGCAGCAGTTGCAAATGAAGGCAGTCTTTCAGAAACCAAAAGCAACCATTGATGTACATTGATGTACATTGCGCAGACAATGACAAACTATGACAAAAAGCAACAACTCCTAGCCCGTCTCATCGGTTGCACTCATTGCAGCCTCTTCTCTGCCCTGAAGGGTGAAATTTATAGAAATATCTCGAAGCCGATTCGATAGCTTTAGCGGCTCTGTGTCATCTTGTTTCCCGTTCCATCACCGGCCTGGCTTGCCAGCTAGAATTTGTTTGCCTTGTTGAGCAGCATTTGCCTCAAAAACGAAATGGAAGATGCTACAGTGGCAATATTGCTGATTTTTTGACATAGAACGATGATAGTCACACGATCTCATTCTATGTCACAACCTGAGAGATGGGCACAAACAGAGGCCGTGAAACCAAGAGGTTCAGAGGTCAGACTTTAAACCAGTTGGATAGGATGTTCTTGATGTACGTGACTTGACTGTCTTGACAACATTAATGTTCGAGCAACTAGCAACTCACTCACGCTCAGCATGAGAGCTTTGTTGATCCTCACGGGAAGAAAGCACTGAAGTCACTGAAACATTCCCTGTCACCTCGATTTTCACAGTCCAGCCTTCGGAGCTTCCTCTTCCGTCAGATTCTGGATCTGCTTACTCATCCTCGGAAGTAGAGCTTGCACAAGTAAGGGTTGATGGATTGCGGTCAGCACCAGAATCGTTGGCAAGATTGAGTTTCATTTTTGGTACAAGCGGGTACCAAGTAGATAGATAGTTTATGATAGTTTGTCGGACATCAGTCTGGTGAAGTCAAAGCATTCACACTGCAAACCTCCTACCATCTCCTACGAGTACTGTACCCATTGCCAGTCAAGTGACTCGGTGTGGAAGTCAACTCCGCTTTGCGTCTTTGAGCCGACCTGCTAGTCAAAATGCAAGTGCTAGTCAAAATATGTCAAAATGTGCAATTTGGAGCTCTGAGGAAACATCTGAGTCGCTGAAGACTCCAAACAATCTTGTCCAAAGGGACCATCATTGCAAAGCGTTTTCTCAACAAGACAAAACACGTCACACCTCTCCACAACCGACGATGGTGCAAGCCACTCGTGGGCGCTCATCTCGGTCCTGGATGATCAGAACTGCTAAACGCTAGCCTTCTGCAAGCTTTGAGCATTTCGTTTGGGTTCATGACCAGAGCATGTCCACAGCTTGAGACTTGAGAGCTCTTCAAATCCCTGCACACTCACTGCGCGAACTGAGTCTCCGATCCGTGGGTACGGCAGCCACAGCACGGATGACATCCATCCCTTCAACCACCTCAAGCACCATTCCGCAAATGCAATGTGAAGGTCAGAGGGCTTGCATTACACAGCACACCTGAAAGACGCGTCATGTATTTATGGGAAGATCACGCTGGCAACAACTCCGAAAGGAAGACGTTGCACATCGTTGCATATACAAGTACGGAGGAGTCCAAATCGGAACTGGCCTGGCTGAAACATGATTCATTGGCATTTGTTCTCATGTCACCTAGTACAGTCTCATATGATGTCATATGCATGCGACCACGGAGACAAGATGAGACAAGTTTAAACTGTGGTTTTGTTTATCCAACGATAAGTGGCCTGTAGTGGCCTTGTAGATATTTGGTGATATTTGTAGTGTACACAGTGTATATGTGCTACCTCAAGCTCCTTAGATCGCTTGCAGCGACACACCCATAGAGGGACTAGGATGAGGCATGACTTCCCTGTCAGGGTTGTTGACCAATCTGAAAAAAGCAGCGCACCTATAGTTTCAGTTTCTTCTTACACTTCAGATGTATGCTTTCGCATACACTCGAATTGCTGCAATCATACTTGTGGATTACATGATACAGAATGAGACAGATCAATAGATCAAGTGTTCCTGCAATCCAGAACCACACCTGACCAAAAGCGATGTGTTTGTTGTCCAGCTGCACAGAACGCCTGAAAGCAATTGAAAGCAATGAATCAAATCGCAGCGATAAGAAAATAGAGAAGGCATACAGCATACAGGCCATGGCCTTTACCGAGCCTTGATGTCGAATCGCCAAATTGGGGTTCAGTTTCACAAGTTTCAAATGATCCACCTAATGGATCCTAATGGGGCTACATTGCTATGGCACTGATATAGACTTGATGCCAAACGGAGAGTGGAAGCAAGATTGAGACTCCAGAGTGTATTCAATAAGTTACGACAGGGATTCTCTTCCAAATCATGGACACATACACTATCATATATTGACAGAACTGTCACGCTGCAACCATTCCAACAAGCGCACTTCAGGGTGATGAAGAATTGCGATCCATTGCTGTTCCGACCTTACAGCTAGCTTGCAAGGATTAATGGATGCCACTGGCGTTGTCTCAGAGTCAAAAAAAAACTGTGCTGGTGATGGCTCCTTGACTTCACAACCTTTGAAGAACATCCATCATGCAAGGAACACCATGAATGCGTCCGAAACTGCCCAACACATCCCAACACAATGTTACAAGTTCTGCCCACTATGAGCACTCCTAATACTTAATCCAAAATGAGTCAATTCAATACAAGTATTTTGAGAGTTCCTATGAACGGAGTCTTCCTGAAATATGAAACTTCTTGGCTTCGAGCCTTTGTTGGCCATGCTGACAACGCCGGCCTCTCTACACCAGAAGCAGCGCTGCTGAGAATCTACATGCAGTTGCCAGCACAGCAATGTCTCAAAAAATGAAGGCGTACGAAGGTGTTGCTTAGGCAGCAAATTTTGACAACACCTCTCCTGCGTGTGGCGACGGACGAAGTCTTCATCATTGAAGGTGCCGCCATAGATGCTTTCGCCACCTCAATACATTGTTGCACTCCAAAACCAGCATACATTGCCCCAGGAATCCCCAGGATGTAGTCTTCAGTCCAAACATCCTAGGGAAAAGGATTCAGTTATCATGACGGTTTGAGAAGAGAAAGTGAGATGTAGACAATTTTTTACTATCTGTCATTGAGATTCTAGTCCCACTATTCTCAGCTATGGACCGTCACCATTGTTGAACTGAAAGTCTCCAGTCTGGATCATGAAATTCTTGACCTTGGCAAAAAAATGTGGTGAGGAATTTTAGGGCATCTCAGATGTGTGATAATACTTGTGATGTCTTGTGATTGCTTTTGCACATATGGTTACATGGACAGCAATATCTGTTGCAGAGTTGAAACGGTACATCCAAATGTGTTTGTACCACAGCTAAAACCGCATCTAAAACCTGCAGGAAATGCATGTGCGGTGTGCGCATCTATTTGCAATGGAACTGGAGAACTTTCCGCCATCTATTTCTTCCATTTCTTGTTCTTCTTCTTCTTCTTCTAAAATTTATTCTTCTTTCCTGCAAAGCTTGTCGTTGCATTTGCTGTCATTTGTTGTCATTGTCAAAAAAAAACTGATAACAAGTTCATCAAACAAGCGTCACATACTACCAGGACGGATTCTCGCCGTTTGCATCAGCTGCTGCGATAGTTACCACAACGGTCGTGGAAAACACATCTTCGGACTTACACATGCGAATCAAGAGAGAGCTCACGTCCACAATTGTCCACTCATATGAAGATTGTGTAAGTCTGATCTCGGGGTTCCAAGGTCTTCGGACTGAGCGAAAGATTTGGCAACCCTCGTAGCTCAGTTTCTTTTTGGTATTTCGTCCAAGGCCTCAGCCGTGCCGCCAAACTATGATCTGTCTGCACATGTGTCTAGTCTTATCTGCATTAAGTTCACTTCCATGCACTGTGTAAAAAGACATGGAAAGCAGGTCTGGAAGTTTAAGAATGCCAAAGAGAGCCTCCAAAATGTGCTCAAACGAGACAGGTTCAATGAACTGTACGTATTGAATCTTGAACAATTGCAATGAACATGCCAGGCTTCCTCTGCGCCAACACCAAAGCTCTGCCGAAGTCAGAAACATGTGGCACAGTGCATACGAGTAGAGTGAGTACAGTTGTTGAAGTTACTGAGTAAATCTGAGTAACCTCTAATAACCTAGAATATCTCGGAATTGCAAACAAGAACAACGAAGCAGCTGTCAGCTTGGGGCCCGAGGCCATATTCACCGGTGCAAAGGCCACGGAAATTCTCCGCAGCTCTGGGAGTGACATCGGGGAAAAGCTCGATGATCACACGGCCACCTTAGGCAGTAGAAAGATACTTAGTACATCTTGGTACAGCTAGGTACTGTAGATTACTGTAGTATGTAGTGTAGTCAATGTAGTCAATGTAGTCAATGTAGTCTTAGTCTTAGACAGTATTGTGCACAGTATCTTACAGCCGCCACAGACTCGAAATAGCAGCTGTTCAGGGAAGAATCTGTGCTGCGCAAAATGGCCCATAACAATCCATAACTGTCCAGCTGTGTCCAGCTGTGTCCAGCTATGTCCAGCCATGTCCAGCTATGTCCAGCTGATTGTTTCACTATGCAACCAGGTCCTTGGCCTGTTCGGCTGCCAATGGAAATGTCGAGGTAGACACGGGGGTTCTTTCCTGCGCGCGTGGCTAGATACTCATTCAGCTTCAGACTCAAACCCAAGAGTACGCCATGATTTATCGCAAGGGCTACAAGGGTGACTAGTGACTAGTTCATCTATCTAATTAGTGTAATGGCCAAAGCATCAGTTTGTCGAGTTCTGTTTACAACCCAAAAGATCCAAAAAAGATATTCTCTCTGGCAGACCTTACCGTGATGCCAACTAAATCATCATACTTAGGCAAACGCAATGGCATAACATCCAAAGCGTGCCACTGATGCACTTCTCGGAAGAGCATGTCTTTAAAAAGGTTGCTCTGATGTAAACCAAAGGACGGGACAAACAAGGATCACATCTTCTCAGTCTCAAATGTGCTGAAATCGTGTCTATTGCGCTTTAGATGGCACCTCGCCCCATGATGTTTTCTGGAGCTCACTCGCGAAGCAGTGGTGGTCCTATGATGCTTCCAGGTTTGCACATGACATTGTCCATCGAATATGTAAGCCGCCAAAGGAAGGAGATTTGGCACCATTACAGGTGATGAGTGACTTGGGCATGGTTAGACACACTCGTACACTCATAGACCTCAGAGACAATGATGCCTGCGCAACCTCGATTGCAAGCTTGAACGTGTTGAAACAAACTGTAGAAATCATATAAGTGTAAACCTCAGAAGTGCAAGATAATTTCAAAGAGGTTTAAACATACAGCCCTCTATATATATGTATAATATATAGCATACACCATATCGATTCACAGAATAAATATTTATTTATTTATTCATTTATGTATTTATTCATTTATTTATTTATGTATTATTACTGTTATTATTATTACAGTACATTTATTCATATATAATCATATATATATATATCAAAATGCGAGATGCAAAGTCTTGTCCAGCGGACTCCAGGGCTTGTTGATGGCACAGCTGGCGCTCGGAGCAACAAATCCTTTGGGAAAATATCACGCAAAGTACCGCAATGTTTCATGTTGGCGATGTCTATGTTCATACTTTCGGTTGATACGGTGTGACATTGTGGTATCCTCTGCGCAATCCGTCTTGTTGGCAGCTATGCTGCTGTGTTGCTCAGTGTTGACTATTCTGGACCACCATCAGTTGTAAGGCTGGGAAGTCTGGCTAGAGTATGCTTGGTCCGTCCATGATCTGTCTCTATCACTTTCACCTGAGCCAAGATCCACGAGCGAGCCACAAAACACTGGAAACATGTTTTTTTGTGAAGTTGGCCTGAACAGTAGAGCCCACAGTAGAAAACGCAACAGACTCACTGGGTTTGGATGCAAAGGATGATCCTTCCTCTTCCCGCTGAATTCTCTAGTGATCTGTATTGATCTGAATTATTTGACATATTGACACCGCAGGCACCGCCCTTTTTGGATCCATCTTCCAACATCTTGACCTTTCTCCGGCCACGAACTACACGAGATCCATCGAGTCTTATGGCTGGTGCAAGGCGTTGAATATGTTGAATTTCATGAATTTCAATAGAAAGGAAGATAGAAAAAGCCAGGAGACAGGTAGAAAATGGGAGAAAAAAACATGAAAAACCGAATGAAGTTGTAGTCCTGTTGTAGTCCTGTGGAGTGTGACATCCTGTGACCTCATTTCACACTTTCACAGGATCCTACTGGGCCCAGCTGTCAAGCTGACAGCCGAGCATCGAGGCCTTGCAACACAACCGCGAAATCCTCGAGTGAAAAACGAGTAGAATACCGAGATATACCAAGATAGACCGAGTAAACTTTTGCATTTCAAGATGTTTCAAGGATTTCTTGAACAGAACTATCCTAGCCGCTAGCCGTAGCCCCACGGAGTGCCTAAAGCCACCCGCTGGTGGCAATGCACTCAGTATCGGGCACCAGGTTTTGCAGCACTCTTCGGTCGCAGAAGAGATATTCGCGGGCCCGCGCTCTTAGGGCGACACATGTCCTCGAACTTCAAACTCTGCAAGGAAAATGCATCGGAATTCATGAATAAATTCCAAAGTGCGCTAAACATCTCAATTATCACTCGACGGAATGACTCATTCATTTGTTGATTGTCCCTGGGGCGCCCGGGCGTCTCTGGGACGTCTGTCTTCCTTTGGCTGCTGGATTTCTACACAGAGAAGAGATTCTCACATTTTACGGGTGACGTTTCCTATCCAGCCGATCCATGCTAAAATTGCGTAGCTATGCCAGCTGTACAACCACAGTCAAAGAAGGTTGGACGCAGCCAAATAAACAGTTGAGAAGAAAACAGAAGGAGAGTTCGAGTTTTCACCTATGCCATGTCGTCCATATTTTCATTATACCTCATTCTTCTTGACTCACGGTACGAGTTTCACTCATGCGCACCAATGAATTTGTGGACGGGTGACACACAGCAGTGAATTTGCTGAAATAAGTACGTTTTGCCACTTCTAACTTATCCAGAATTAAGAATGATTCGTGTTCTTTTCATTGTGATCATTGTGTGTCATGACCTTTCTGTCCATCCAAGGCTGGTGCATCTCGTGATCTGCTTCGGGAAGAACGCCTCCGTGCTGCACACTCACTGTCACAGGCGAAAGAGGCGTTGCTGGATTTAGGGAGTATGCCAAACACAAGCAACGTGCTCTGGTGCAACATCAGCTTGAATAGCAACAATGCAAAGCCTAGCCCTGCAAACTAGTAACTAGGGACCGGTCAAACCCATTTAAACCCAATTTTGCTACATCAATGTATTGTCTATAGCAGTCTTGCTAATCTCCAACTGGTTGAACACGCAACATCACGCAAGCCTCCGTGAACGCCTTAGAGATAACACTGAGGTTCGTTGGAATAAAAAGAATCGACGATTGGCATGACGCTGTGTATTGCTGAGTTCAACGCGGTGGTGGCGGTGCTGGTGGTTCATTGCCCCGTCCTTTACAGTACCAGTAAGCACAAGCCGACCAGTCCACTTTCAAAGTCTTTGATTTCATCCACATGACTGTCACATGACTCATTTTGTCACTGTTTCGCTGCGAAAAGTGTTGAAACATGTTGTGAATATCAGATTATGTCTCCGTTTAAAAAAAAAACGTCACACACAGTTGACTGCATCAGCATCAGAGAAAAAAAAGTGCATCCATGCATCCATGCATATTACGCAGTGGCAAGTTTAAATGATCAGTTGCAAAACTTAAGTGCACAAAATGCACAATGTTTTATGACGCTCCTGACTGGCTGTCACAACAAGACGTATCTAGAACATTATAGAATCTAAAGCAGTCCCTGATGTGAACGCGAGCGCGCGATTCTACATAGCATGTTCACTGTCTTTCCAAGTCTTTCCGAACAATTATCTTTAGTTTGCAGATTCTTTTTGAAACTGATGGGTCCTCGCCAATCTCCCGGAGGGGGCGGCGGTGAACCACGTGGCGAGCGTAGTCCGTTTCGTCCCTGGCAGGACAAGCCGCCATGGATATACTCTACCGAGTATACTGAGGTGTCCCTATGGCCTAAAGTCATCTAAAGTCATCTAAAATCTACTTGCATTTCAAATCTTGCAAGGCTTAGTGTCTCAAAGCATTCATCCATCCATGGAAGGTGCAACCACTGACGGGCACACCACGCTCCTGAAGCCTGCAGCGGCAGTATCACTGACTGAAACTCTTGAAAGATTCCGCATGGCGTGTGAGAGTATAGTTTTCTTCTGATAGTCTGACAGTGGCATAGTACCGGTAGGTTCGTAGACGAAGAGATTGATATAAGCCTTGTTTTTTGCCATTGACATAAATGTTGGTCTTCGTGCCCGACCTTCTCCCCATCTCTCCCTTTCACTAAAGAAGCGTCGCTGCATTGGATCTTTGCCAAGAGGACACGAATCATTGTTGAGCAAGTGGAGTTTGCTGCTTCTGGTCAAACTCTCTTCTACGCCGAGTCTTCAGTCAGACTAACTACTGTCCACAGCCTGCATCAAAACAAAACCACTTCTGAGTTCGTGGACAAACAAGGAACAACTCTTCGACGTTCTGTAGTTTCCGTGTAGATCCTAGTGTCAACTGTTGAATGTCGTTCGACAACTCTTTTTATATGTTTGAAGGCGGAAACTCTCAAACCAAAATGAACAAAAGGGCAACACCAGAACCACAGCAAGGGTAATGTTGACAGTGACAGCTACACCGACAAGCGGAAAAGTAACAGCAACCCAAGAAGCAAAGGCAGCAACATTGGCAGCAACAGCGGCACCAACAGCCGCCACAACAACAGCGGCAGCGGTTATGTACTTTGTTTGGAGTTTCAAAAACAACCTGAAACGCAGGACGAGATGACTGCAATTGAGACTCACACCTGAGGGTGGGAGCTGGCAGGAGCTCTATTTCTTTGCATTAATCACGGTTCATCCGGCCCTTCATCGTCATCTGCACGGTATACTGCTAGAACAACACGTAGAGGGCCCAAGGGTGGCAGAAGTTCTCCATTGAGCTCTTGACACCTGTCAAGAAGGCACAATAGATTCGTGCTGCTTAACTCAGTGTCTTGGTTTTAGACTACATATGACTACATCCAAGATTGCGAAAGGAAAACCGCGCGAAATTTAAGACTGTGATGATGTGTGAGATGTCAGCACGAGCCTGTGCACCAAAGGTCGCTCTTTGTGCAACAAGACGCGCGGATCTCGCCAAGCCGGCCGCAAATAGCCTAGGATAGAATCTATGAACCACTCCCCCAAAGAGGTAGGGTACAGGTTGTCAGCTCATGTCGTATCCAAATCCCTTATATAAATGGGACCACTCTAAGGTGCTTTGCATTTGCAAAGACTCTGAAAAGGCTAATTATATCTGTCATCGGTTGCTATATCATATATATATATACAGCTTTGTGACAATCAACTGTAATCTAGCTAGCTGCTAGCTGAATGTAGCTACACACAAGAAATCACACAAGAATATGCTCTGTGGCGCCTTTTTCCTTCATGTGTGTGTAGGTGCTTTGAGGGTACTGTGCGAGTTGACATCCTGCGAGACACAACCCATGAATATTGGCTCCAAGCAGGACAATATCATTGATATCATACTACCCAGCCTTCATTTCTTCCTTTTAAGATTATATAGATTATATATTTTAAGATATTTTAAGATATTTTTAAGTTTGTTTAAGTGTCAATTTCCAGTCCGTGCGGATGGTGAAGGCCGGAATGTTCAAGACAGGAACGTTAGCCGTTAGTGTTTGCCAGAACTTGCCCCGTAGCGTTGCACACACATGAGATAGTTTGCATTGTTGGAAATTACCTTCGTTTGTTCTGACGCTGTACTAGGTCACCTCAAACACTTCAAACACCTCAACACTATGGACTGTTTTTCAAAAAAGTCGTAGTTCTCTCCCTGCTTCGTCCCTGCTGCACTCCTTCAGACTGCAGAAAAGAGGAAGTGCAGGCCCGTCATCTCTGAGGTCTGCATCACGACAAACGCAAGCCTCGAATTAGAACCACATTCTCCAAAAATCAGCAAAACTTCAACAAGGTTCAACAGATTCAACCAATACACAACAAACAATTCTGAAAAGAAGATGCGTTCTTTTCTGAGGAACCCTCAAAGTCATTTTTCAAGAACTCCTGCAACAAGTTTGGCAAGTTTGCTGGCCAGCTTCACTTTCCTTTTACCGCAACCTGACACTCGTGTCCTGAACTCAGGCTTTGCATTGCATACTTGCATAGTCAAAAGCTGACTGCCAAAGGTGTTGATTCCGTATGTCATGTTTTAATATATATGTTTTACACATGCCCGGGATTTGAAGTGTCTTGGTAGCGTGACCAGCCAGGGAACCCATCTATGACCTTCCCCGCAGAGATATCGAGATTCTGGCCTCAGCAAAAATGTTAACGGGATATCAAAATTATGGTATGCATAAATGCTGCATAAATATAATCATAAATATACATTCTATAAATATCAAGAAATATATAGAAATATCATCAAATATGATATGACATTGATATGCTGGAAACCGTCCAAGATCTTGGAGCTTCACGGGCCAGGAGCGCCAGCAGGCCACAAAATGGAGCCTTGCTGAACTTGAAGATCCAGTTTCAACCTGCAGTACAGAAGGACATATGAGTCTGCAGACTTCTGCAGTAAGCCCACTGAGACTGACAACATTCTATCAGCACACACAAGGCGAATGATACGTCTAAGATCGTCTAAGATCAATGCAAAAACAATACTTATGAAATCTGTATGTGGGTCTGTGTGAATGTAGCAGAAAACTATCGGGCAAGCTTCTGTTACAACGGACTAAAGAGTCTAGGTGTGCAGCCTTTTGCTTCCCTCATCAACGTTTTGACATGTCAATCCAGTAGCAACTCTCTCAGTTTCAGACAGCAAGCGCCGAAGCGGATGTACTGGATCAAAAAAACTCTCCTTCAGGGCTGGTATCAAATTGGTCGCCGGTTCAACCCCGCAAAAACATGATCGTGGTATATCGTGCAATATTGTGCAATCTCCGAATGTGGAATACCATTAATGTCATCATCATGAAAGTCGGAATAGTGCTTCAAAGATGTGAAAAGTGCTGGAAAGTGGCCCAAACCCTGGGCTCCGAAACTGTGAAGAGACGTAAGTTCATAGTCAATGTGACAGAGCCAATCCTCTCAGGGCATGCGATCATCCACTGGGAACACACGCGTTCATGGTGAGGTGCAGGAATTGAGGAAATCTTCGGATATGAGTTGGAGATGGTTGGAGTTCTTAGATGGTCTTAGGCTCAAATAACTTCAATAAATTCCCTCACTAAAAATCTACCCTTGCGGTGAATATCGCAAGCCATGCAAGCCAAACATTCGCACATCAGAGTCCAAAGACGTAAGATGAACATGCTAATCCGCCCCAGTGGCACACTTCCCTTTGGAGCAGTTTATCTCAGCTTTACAGCTACATACATGATCTACATGCAATCGTCTTTGAGGCGAATGCCTTCCCTGCTTTGAATCACTTTGCGGCGCTTCCCCTGAAAACAAGTCTCGAAACTTCTTGGAAATATGGTTGCTAGATGTTGCTAGTGATTCATGGCTTCACTTGTTCTACCTGTTCTACCCTTGTCCTTAGTGTCGCTGCTGGCGTTGCGCTTACTGATGCCAGTGGCTTGTTAAGTTGTTCCAAAGCATCAGACGGAAAAGAAGTTTGCCAAAGGAAGAGTTGCCTCGGCTGACAAGACTGGCAAGGGTGTTTGCTCGATTCTGTGTGTCTAAGTGTGTTTGCGCGCTCCCATGACTTCATTGTAAATATATACTTGTGCACACTTCATGCAGAAGGTATGTCGCACGACATCAGACTGGAAATTCATTTGAATTTCATTTCTGCTGGTTGCTGTATATCCGCTCGACTTTAGGATGAAAATGGGTGGACAATGCTTCGGAAATTCTTTGGGTATCTTCGGGGTTGATTGCACGGAGCACACGCTTTCAGAAAATCTCCTCGTTTTGAGTAGCAAGGAAAACTTGAAACAAATGTCAGGCTACAAAGACAAAGTTCTTTAGCTGGAACATGTTCGGAAACAAACGCGAGCACAAACCTTCCACATGGAAATCATTGGAAATCACAAGACCTGTTAGTGCTAGATTGTATAAATTTGTATAATATACGTGCTTCCAAAGCAACGCATCTGGGAAACGCTTTCGCATTTCAGAAACGGCCTGGCAGTTCTGCTAATTATCAGCCAGGACATGTCAGAACAGGATGTCACTCAGATACAGGTTCGCAGCTTGAAGGTCGTTGCTGCTTGAAACTTTATCTGCACAAGAACCGGCATGATTGTAACTGGCTACTACATGTTTTGACATCAGAACCCGTCCAAACCCAGCATACGCTTGCCATTTCCAGCAAAACAATACAAAACCTAGTAAGATGACAAGAAACTTTGAATTGTGCTGTGCGCAGCATCCACCCCCATCGACCTCGCCTCTACATTACACGAAAATACACGATTCGTTGTACTTCATCATTACATCTTGCTACGAAGTGGCCTTGAGACGAAGTTGTTGAGAGTCGCAATTCCAGGCATCCTGGCGGCGCAGAGAAATTCTGGAGGTGAGCCTCTCTCTTTTTTTGGGTGGCAGACAGTCGTACAGCATCAAAAGCAGATTCGACTTCATCAAAGTGTCCAGAAAGCGGCAGCGAAGCTTCCTGAAGCGATTCAGCAGTTCAGCAATGAAAAATACAATCATTCATTTCCTACTCAACCTGTTCCACGCCTTCAACAAGAAAGCGTATACATATAATATATATATATATACATTAGTTGTGAGATGTAAAGCATAGATACTCAAAAGGTTCACAATGTCCAGGCTCGCATCCGCATGGTTTTTTCTTCCCAAACTCTTCGTGCGGTCTCAACCTGCTCCTCGCAGGATAGTGCTTTGGAACGCTGTGCAGGTAGTCTCCTGCACAGCAGCACTGGTTGGATCCGTACACCCTGTTCCGCACTCCTGTAAACTCAGGAGGCTACACAGGTTGAATCTCTCCCACCCAGTGCTACAGTCGTGGGACTCCACGTAGAGATCAGCATCCTCAATGATGTGATCCCCTACAAGGGAGGATACTCCACCGGAGTCCTACCTCATAGGGAGGGAAGGGAGGGAAAAGAAAGAACGATGAAGCCAGTTTGGCTCAGACTTGAGCCAAAATGGATTCATCAGCTTACATACTCACCCTAATGATAATGCACACCCAGTGCCTGCCAAACACGATGCATACATACATTAGTTGTGAGATGTAAAGCATAGATACTCAAAAGGTTCACTCTATCCAGGCTCACATCCGCATGGCTTTTTCTTCCCAAACTCTTCGTGCGGTCTCAACCTGCTCCTCGCAGGATAGTGCTTTGGAACGCTGTGCAGGTAGTCTCCTGCACAGCAGCACTGGTTGGATCCGTACACCCTGTTCCGCACTCCTGTAAACTCAGGAGGCTACACAGGTTGAATCTCTCCCAATGCACTTCATCCCAAAGCACTCAGAGAAACTCCACAACCCGGAGAAACGCGGGAAGTGGTAGAGACCAGATCTCGAAGGGGAAAAATGCAAAATGCGTGGTGAACCCATGGCTTTTGTGCCATGTTGCCTGGAGGCCTTCACGGCTGATCTCATCAGACCAGTTGGCCTTGCTAGGGATCCACTCCCAGAAAAACCAAGCCTTAAGCCCAAAAAGAGTAATATGAATCAACCGTGACATATGCTCTAAATCTGCATTGTCAGAACGACCTCGGATCAATGCCATCAACGCTGCCGTGTTGTCGATGAACCAGAGCCCTCGTCGGCCTAGAAATCTGGACGGCCGAGAAAACAAAGCATAGAGCACTTGCAGCAGCTCTAATTGGGCAATCTTCTTGTCACCAGGCTCCCATAGGCTGTACACCAATGGGGGAATGAGAGAAACAAATGCCTCTCTGTGTTGCCGGTGATGGTCATGCCATACCACCAAAAAGCCCCCAGTCCCCTGACCTGGGCTCTCCAATGCAGCATCCGACGCAGCAAGGAAGCGGAGCCCTGCATGTGGCCAGATCTCAATGTGGCGAGAGGGACGGGTGGTGATGACAGTACGTAGCAGGTCAAAGCTCTGGCGCAACTCCTCAGTTAACTCTGCGGAGCGCTCCTGCTGTCTGCGCTTGATTGGGGCCAAGCCACCGCAGCCAATACGCCCCCACACGCCAAGCTCAAAGAAGTTGGCGATACCGTAGAGCTTGGCTGCCACCCCTGGTTGCAACTTGCCGGATTCCTCGGCAGTTTGCATGAGATGAAGCAGCTTGGTCTCGATGCGTTCACGGGCCCAAAACTGAACCAGACCCTTCAAATGGACTTGACTGAAGTCATGATCCAGGCCCAGGAAGGTGCCGGTACTCTGCATCTTCTGACATTTCTCCTCGGAAAATGGTGTACCCAAAAGGGTGTTGAGGGTCTGCAAAGCTCTCTGACCTGACCCTCGGCACGATTTGCGGTCTGTCAAATGAGCATCATCGAAATACAGACTGGTCAAACAAAAGGCAAATCGACGTGATAAAGCCTCCACAAAACGACTGTATCGATTGAAAGATGTGACCGCAAGAGGAAGACCAAATAGCAAACCTGTGTAAATCATAAACGCTGGTTGTTGCCATTCATGATGGAAGAAAGCCACAATGCAGCACAACGCCTCATCCCAACTCATAGGGCAAAAACGATAGGCATCCGGCCAATCCTCACCTCCAGACTCCCATTCTTCTGCCTCCCAGTTGGGTGACCTCCCAAAGGAGTAGGCATACTGCAGGTGTTGGGCCGGCCGCAACGCTGAGCAAAGGGTGAGCTTGTTCGCATCACTGGAACGCTCAGATTGCAAACCAACGTAGGCGTCGTCAATCACTCGTTGCTTCCCCGAGGATTGTGTGATGACGCATCGAGGGATCAACCGGTAGGGTTCCGCACCCAGACAACGCTGCAGTTCCTCTGCAGTCATGGGCAATCCACAGAAACCCTTCTCGGCATCTTTAAGGCTTTGCTGCAACAAAAACTCATCATCTGCACCTGGCTTGAGCCGAGCCAAAATGGTGTTGTTGTGGCTCTGCCAGTCCTGGAGTACCTCCTCTCTTGTCAAACGGGTGGCAACTTGTTCCGGAAAGATGCCATATGGCGGCGCGTACCCCACTGCTGGAAGCCCCATACACAGGCCTGCTGGCAGTGTCACGTCACCCCAATTGGCTACAAGAAGGAGAATTGCAGTGAAGCCGATGTCACGCTGCATTGTTGCCGTCCTGATGGCCTCGGTCTGTTTGCGTCTCAAATGGGCCGTGATCGAGCTCCACCGTCTCTTCAGCTCAGATAAGATGCCCGTGGCGCGCTCTCGCAACCTGCGCAGGTCAACTCCTGGCAGGCTAGAGAAAGATGCAGCAAACCTCAGGTCCTCGTCCAAAATAGGGAGCCCCTCAGTAGGCAACGGTTGCATGCTAAGCTGAAGGGCTTGCTCGAAATGCTGGTCTGGCTGAAGGTGAAAGGGCAGAAGAGGGGCCAGCGCCGCTCTGTGGTTGATCGCTCCCACCTGCTGACCTTCTGCCGTCCTCATCTTCTGCCGCACTGAAGGGGCTGCCAACACTGGGTTACAGCTGCCCTCCATGTCCAGCCCTTGTTGGTGGTGCCATCGCACAAACAGGTCAAGTGGGTGCTGGTTAACTAAGTCCTCTACAAAGGGGATGGCAACTCCCTCGAACCACTCGCCCGGGTACAGCTTCTTGAACGCTAACGCCAAGGACTCCTGCAGAATGTAAAATGGCCCAAAGGGGATGCCTGTAGCCTGCGCTACACTTGACAGGAGGACACGTCGGGTAACTCCCTGGTGACTCCTGCCAGAATGACCTTGGACTACCTGTGGGGCACTCCGCTGGCCTTGCTCACTCAAGCGGTCAAAAATCAACCCGGCTAGGAGGTCGGCCTCACAAGTTTGGGCTGCAGGGAAATCACAGACCAGCACTGAGCCCTCGAGCTCATCCAACTCGCACCAGAGTGTCTCCCTGATGTACTGGACGTAGTAGGGAACCCAGTCTTGAGGGGTGCAATTCACGCCCACCTGCCATGGAGACTTCCACTTGGTGGTCGGTAGGCGGTGGGTATGACTTCCAAGCCCCACATACACATGACCGGGGGGAAGTGCACCCTGCTGCAAAACATCTTCAACACATGCTCGCGTAGGCACCCTAGCCGCTTCAGCTGTATCCAAAGGCCTCAAACCCAGGCTAATGGCCAGTGGGGTCATAGCCCACTCACGAAGTGCTCTGGGATCGAGGTCAAGCCAATGGTCCCGATGCCCGGTACAACTCGGCGATGGGGACCTCGGCACATAGAGCTTGGCGTGTCCAACACGCACTGCCCACCACGAAGCTGCCGTGGCAATTGCAAAACAGAGCTCTGCTGTATACTCGGACTCCTCAGCTGAAGGAAAATGGCGCTTACCATCCTGCACCCAAGGTTCCCATTCCTGGGGATCATGAAAATGGTTGCAGTCAGCTCGAGGCCATTGAGCGATCTCTGCAATGTTGTGGCGCAGCCGCTGCAGCTTCGATCTGGCGCCACCAAAGCAGCAGGCTGAGTACCGCTGATCGGACCAGCGACCGCTCTCCCACATCGCTACCTCATCCGGTGTCCACCAATGGAGGCTGTTGTATGGGTTCTCGCGGACTGATCCACCACCCCTGTCCACCAACTGATCGATCTCGGATAGCACAAAGCTAGCAGCCGCATTATCTTGCTCCACCCGTGTCTGCTGAGAACCTGTCAACTCAGGTAGACCCAGCGGGTGCTGCTCAGATCGCAACGGCCGAGGTGGTGGGCGTCCATCACCAAAATCCCGCGGAATTTCCCTCGCGCGGCTCTTGGTGGAGCAATCCAAAGCTGCTGCGATGAAGCATACAGACTGCAATTGCTCATGCAACGATTGCTGCCTGAGACTGTTGGAGAGGTCATGACTCCTATCCAACATCCAGTCCACTGAAATGGTCTCCCAACCACAAAAGATGAAGGCCTTGGACAGAGGTGTATTAGGCCCCGCATAAAGGTCCGCCATACGTGGCAGCTGACAGTCAACTCTGTCTACGGGTCTTGCCTCATCCTGCCCAGCAGAAGTGCCCGCCTCTCCCGCTGGGCCCCGTCATGGCGAAATCTTCGCCCGACATTGGATAGCTCCATGCCCCGGCATACCGCAAATGCGTTCACCACGAACCACGATACCACACTTGTGCTGGCCTTGGGGGCAAGAGCTTTTGGGGTTCTTGCACTGTCCATGTTGAAAAGCCTGGCAAATCTTGGAGCCATCACGCATCACCTTGGCCACCTTCTTGCCACTGACTGGCTTGCCCAAAGCAAACTGGGATGGTGGCTGGACTGCTGCCGCAGTTACTGTGGTGGGCTTGCTCGCCTCTGCCTTGGGTGCTCCGGGCACCGCATGTGGTACCCAATGGGCATCACGTGCCACACTGGTCTCCTTGATGACCTCCCCCAAGGACTTGGATGATTCCCGAAATTTGGCAACCCAATCGGAGCGATCCTCAAGGTCACGGGCTTCGAGCCAGGCTAACCTCTGTGACAACGGCAGTGCACTTGACTGACGCTTCGCTCTGTAGAAATATTGCATGACGACATCCAGCGGCACCTCCACAAAGGATGTT